AATAAGCGAATACGGTGGTTTTGAATATTTAAGAGAATGTTCTATATTTATATTATATTCTATGCTTTATATTTATACTATACTCTATACTTATACTATATTCTATATCCTAATACTTTATCTTTTATATCTATACTATATCTTATACTCTGATGATATAAATGATATTAAAGGTTTTGAAAGGGATTCATATTGATTCTACTATTTCTATTCAGGATGATAAGTGATATTAATTACTATGGGCGCATTACCAAAATTTATATACAGTTTCATCCCAGGCAGAAATCTATAAATAGGGGTTTTGACCCAATGTCAGTTGCAGGCCTCGGTACAGAATGCCCAGGACATTATCAGGAAAAGCAATCAACTGTTCAACCCAGTAATCCGCGACTACCCACGACTTTGTACCCAGAATAATATAAATCCGAATATCAGCGTCTATCAATTGACGCGAATCCATACGAGATAACCGCGCGAAGTATACTTATTTCACAAATTTCGAAGCAACGATCGCCCCGACAACGAGAAATTCAAGAAAGCAGATGCGCTGCTAGACATCAATGACTACCCTTGTACGAGCTCGAAATCCTTTAGAAACGCTGAGAATGAGCCAACAACCTGCGGCGCGAAGAAGGAGTAAAAGATTAGCTGGTGGGTTTAGATTTCAGTTACTGTCTGGGTTTGCGACAATGGGATGGGGGTGAAGGAGGGAGGGATTTTTCGCGCATTAGTTAGGATGTTACTGACAGAAATACAGGATATGAGGAGGAAGATGGAGATTTTCAATTTACGCGTGTATCAAAAAAAGCGAAGACCACAGCATCTGTACCGGATCCAATACCAGAAGCTGCACCACCCGTGACAACGACGGTACCGAGGAGGAGCAAGAAGGTGGTTCATGACTGCGAAAACCATAATGTTGCACCAGCGCCAGTGCCAGCTATCAAGAAATCGCGAGGGGCGCCCAAAACGAACCTTTCGACGCCCAGAGAATCGAAGGTAGAGAAAATACAAAGACCCAGGAATGAAGTCGAACCGAAACGAGGGACTAGGAAAAGTACGCGTTTATCGACCGAAAATCCCCAGAATGGTGAAAGCAATTCCGTGAATGGAAGCAGGGATTACGACAACAGTATTGATATGATCGATGGTGCACCTGTGCCCGAAGAATCGAACAGATCGACTATAGAAGCTCCGAATAATACACACTCTACGGTCATCTCTTTACCATTTAGCGATACCCCAATCATAAATCGAAATAAGGAATTGCGAAAAAAAGGTGGGACGGGCCAGAGGAGGAGTAGTTTGGGTATGCGTGGGAGAAGAGCAAGTTCGCTCATTGATAGTGGACACAGCGCAATACCTCATAAAGAGGTCGAGACCTCGGAATTCTACAAACATATTGAGGATGCATTACCCGAGCCGAGGAGGATGAAACAGCTTTTGACTTGGACGGGTGAAAGAGCTTTGCCAGAAAAACCTGCGCATGGCGATCCGGATAGTGGCGCGAAGTTGGCAGGTGAGTACTTTGATCACATAGCTGATTTAGGCTTAGTACTAATGAGTACAGCGAGAGCAATATCAGAGGCTCTTCTCAAAGATTTCGGCACCAATTCTTCGTTTTCGAACTGGTTCGATCGGGAAGAAAAACAACCAACTAAGATAACGAAAGTTGTCAAAAAGCCCAATCCCAAAAACACAGAAGCCGAAGAAAACATACAGGCTTTAGAAGCTCGAGTAAAACAGTATGATTTTACCTATCCGTAACTCAAGAGACGTGCTAACAAACAAACCGCAGACTAGAAATCGAAAAAGCGCAATGGATATCCTTCAAAAAGCCTCCCATCCCCCTCCCACCCCTCTTTCCCAACAGAGACGCAGACACAAACCCTCTCCACCCCTCTCAAATCGATCCCACTCTTCTCGACCCCGAACAATCCGCCATCCTTTCTCTAATAACCTCATCATCCTCTCTTTCCCTGCGCGAAAATGTCTCGGGAAGGTTAAAAATCATCCATCAAGAAATCGAAGGGAAAGTAGATCGTTTCGTAGATGGGATACATAAGATTGAAAGATATGGGGAAACGGTAACAAGGGTCGCGGATAAGATATTGGCGTTGTGTGCTGTGAGGTTGGAGGAGAGGGAGAGGAGGGAGAGGGAACTGGTGGGGACTAGGGATGTACCGATGGTGGAGGTGCTGAGGAGTTTGAGTAGGATCTTACCGGAGGGAAGTGCGAGGTAGGGTTTGAGGGAATTTCTCAAGGGATGGGATGGAATGGGAAATGAGTAGAGCGAGAATGGAATGTTGAATGAATGATGATGAGCGACTTTTGTCATACGTTTTCTTCTTACATATGCTTGGCTTTTCCGGTTACAGTGAATGAAGTATAGCAGGCTTGCTTGATAGCGCTTTTCCTGTACAAATGCATGGAGCCGGCGTGGGAACTTCTTTTGAAATAAATGGAGTACAAGGAAGGGAGGGAATATGAGATCCGAGCATAGCATGAATGTGTGCTTTGGCAACTGATAAATTTGGCTTGAGAATCGTTGCTGGGGAGGGGCATTGGGATTTGTATTGGAATTGTAGCACGATGTTGATGTTGATGGTGAGGGTGAGGATGAGGGGGATAAGATGAGATGAGATGAATACAGATCAAATGAATCGGTCAATCAATCAATCAATCAATCAATCAATCAATCAATCAATCAATCAATCAATCATGAAGATATACATGGATGTATGGAAGCTTGATTGATGGTGATTACTAGATGAGTTTTTGATATGCATAGCTATATGAGAAATTTTGGGAAAGTAAGAAAAAAAAAGGAAAATTACTCCGAGTGAGTATCTTTGTGGTTGGATTATAGTATGATATCTCTAGTTATAATTAGAGGTGTTGACGGGGCAACGATGAATGATCAATTGCACGAGTACTTGAGTATACTAAAAGGATTAACTCGTACAGAGCCATAACTAATTAATCAGAAAGCCCAAACCATATAACCATATACTCGATCGAGTACAGGAATTGCAAAAGGCTCTATGGTGAGATAAAAAAACCCAACCGAGTAAAGGATCCATTCCTTCATCCCTTCTTCGCTTATAGATTAATACCACGTCCTATATCTACCTAGGTAGCCTTCGAAACCAAACCCAAGAAATAAGATTTCGGGAGTTAACTGGAGTCTGGTGGTTATTAACAAATCGCATATCAAAAAATATATCAAATATCAAAAACATCCCCGAGCTCCCCCCCTCTCCTCCCCTGTAATCCTCCGCCCAACCATTAGACCGTTAGAAGTTTCCTTTCGCCAAACCTCTCGAGCCTCTTTCCTACTACATATATATACCATTACTATTATTTCCCTCATCTACCTATAATGCATATGATATACCTACTCCTGAGTCCTGACAAGAAAAAAGGAACTTGAAAGGAAACCACCCCAGATAACCAAACAACCAAACAACCTAATATATTCTTTTCCATCTCCCCCTCTCTCTCCCTCTTCTTTACCAATAACATAGATAACCACTTATCCGAGTCTCCCTCCCCTCAAAAACAAAAACAAAAACAAAAAAACAAGAAACCCAAAAACCAAAAACTCCAAAAAATCCCTCTAAGAATTCTTTTCTTTTGCCTTCCCCCAATCTTTCCTCCTCTTCCTCCTCCTCCTCCTATATCTCCATCTCCATCTCTAACCTTTAATCAAATCTCAACCCCCACCCACCAACTACTTTCTTCTGAATATAAATAGAAAAACAAATCCCTTATATCTCAACTCATATCACATATCACGAACCCCCCACCAATATTCAACATTCAATACCTTAGACATATCTAGCTACTTCTCCTCTCTTCTCATCTCTCTCTCACAAATGGAGCTATGCTATGTTATGCCATTGCGTTGGTAGCTGGATTGGATGCATGTGATGGCCCAATAAGAAGATGCTTCAGGAGTTCCAACGTATATATATAATATAAGGGAGTGAGGTTTGGTTTATTGGACGTGTATATATAGATATCACGATGAAACATGGGTATGGATGGGTATGTAATTCATTTCTCTATCACTCAATTAATCAATCAATCAATCACTCACTCGCTCCAGGCCATATCCCAATCTTCCACTCCCACCCCCACTCCATCCTACCCTCTCTCGTAATCTCACTACCCAACCTGATTTTCCCTTCTCCCAACGCTGTGACACGCATGCCCATCCTCGTCTCCCCAATCCATTCCACTCCACTCTCCCCTCAAAGAAATCTAGAAACGGACTAACGACCACCAGAGAGAGAGAAGAGAGATGAACCAATTAACAGCATGACAGAACGAAGAAAATATCCTATCCACAATTTCGTTTCCTTCATTCCAATCAGTCAATATCTATCCTTGAAGAAAGTAGATCAAATTCTTTTTCTTTCTCCCTTCCTCCCTGTCATGCAATTGAAACTCCCTCCGCCTTCAGTCGTCCGAAATTACATAAAAGCCAGGCTGCTGAGTTGTGATGCATTGTGTATCCTTAAGTGAAAAAAAATCAAATGGAAAATGTGACGCCGCTGGCTATCTGGTCAACAGAGAAATCGTGTATGAACAGCGAAGAAATGCAGACCGCAACTCTGATCGGTCGAGGTATGTTGATTTTATCTTACAAACCGTCTGATATTCGAGAATTCGCCGAAGATCTCTCATGTGCGCCAATTGAAAAATTAAGAAAAGAAATAAAACATGTGAAAAGAAGCGTGTGGGTATTTTAGTGAAGAAAAATTTGCTCCATATGTGGTGTAAGATGGAACTTTTGGCCGACGTCGCTAGGACGTTTTGTAAAAAGACCAGATGCAAATGCGATGAGATATCTCTTAGGTGGACTAATATCCACCGCAGCGAATGGCCGAATTTATATGATCGGGGGTTCTGTGCTGCTCAGCTGGGGAGGGATTATGCTTGTGCTGGTATGGGGAATCTTGAAGGCTTGGCTCCGAACAGACAGAGGTTAATTATCAAAGGATCAGCTTCTGAAGGTTTCTCTGTATGATCATGTCCTGTACAGATGCCATCGTGACCTTGAGGAGATCGGTGTCGGTAGCGTTTGTAAAATGGCCATAAACTTCACGTCCAGGGCTTCGGTTCAAGGCAACGAACTTGTCCATGAAATATTTCGAGGTCTGTTGCCAGCTTGTCGTATCTCCTTGGAAATCAGAGAAACCAAACTTAGTGATTGGGCTGTGATCAAGCTTTGCTTTGAACAAGTCGATCTTGTTCAAAAAGAGGATTAATGCCGAGTGTTTGAACCAATGAGAATTAGCAATTGACTCCCAGAGCATTAAAGCTTCTTGCATTTGATTCTGGAAAAGGGTTAGTTGCCACTGGTGTGTAATGATCGGCGGGTGATATGAGACTTACTCCATCCTTGTCTTCAGCTAGACACTGATCATAACCACTAATAGCAACTAGGAAGAGCAATGCGTTGACGTTCTCGAAGCAATGTATCCATTTCTTTCGCTCCGATCTTTGTCCTCCAACATCAAACATTCTGTATTGCAATGAGCCGAGATCGAAGTGTGTTTCGGTAATACCGGTGGTTCTTAATCTCGCACGAAGAACATCTTGATCAGTTGGGACAAACTCCTTGCTAAAGAGACGGTCTAGATCCTCGTAGAAACTGTGAACCAAATCAGAAATGCCAACTACGCAGAGCAGAAGGAAACTTACTAGCCCAAGTTATCATGTAGAGCAAACTCGTTTCCTCTATTGACCGTCTTCTGAACTCCTGGATCCGCCCACATATCCTTAAATGCCTTGAGGTATTCGAGAGGAATTGGCTCGTAGGGTCGCAGGTCCTTTTCTTCTGTGATGATGGGAAGGAATTGCTGTGAATGAGATAATTAGCCAGTGATCTGAAAAGTTGATTGCAGATATCAAAGCGGATTGGTGCGTAAACCTACAGTTGTATTTTCGTATTCGAAAGGAATGTTAAAATCAGTCATCGCCTCTACCGTCATTCTCAATCCATCTAAAATGTTGTGAAAGATGATAATGCGCCATTCTTCTTTTTCGTTTTTTGAGAAACCATCTTTGGTGTAAATAATTCTCATTTGCTTTAAAATTGTTGATTTTCCAGACTCTCCAGCACCTGCGGGCAGTAATGATTAGCAAGTGTCAAAATGATCTTCAGATCGTAAGGCTCGGATTGAGTTTTTGTTTGCGATTCTGCAAAAAGGTAAGAGGAAGCGACAACTAACCCAATAATAACAACTTGACTTGTCGCTGCATAACCTTCTCATCTCTGTGGATAAGAGCGTCTATATCTCTAGATCTCTTGGCCTCAACATCCTCCCTGCTGCCGAAACACATCATGAAGGGCCAAAATTGAGGTGGAATTTTGAAAGATGTGAGGAAGATTTGCAATCGCTGAAGAAGAAGGCTTGAAGGTTATCAATTACCTAGATACCTAGGTAAAAGAGAGTTTGAGTTTGAGTTTGAGTTTGAGAGATAGGCAAAATATTGTACGGGAATTGCAATTCGCTGCTGACAAGTCAACAAGTCAGATAGTTTGCGATCTGAAGAACTACCGCGTCAAGTAGTGTCGAGCTATGAAGAACAAACTGGAGCCTTTTATTTTCAGGGACAAGCGTTCGGTTTGCACTTGGTAATATTCGGGGAAGGTCGCTGTTGATAAGATGGGGCGGGTCTAGCGGGTTATGGATGGATATGTATGCGAAATGGGTGATGGATGGACTCGGAAGACTAGACTTTAACTGACAAAGTACCAAACAGTATCTTGACGATTTATGAGGTAAAGAAAGGTAAGGTAAGTTGTAGGTACTCTTGGATTGATGATTCTTTAAGATAAAGGTATGAAGGGGTCTGATTTGGTTTGATTTGGATTGTACGATATCTCGGAGAAAGGATATTGTGTAATATCTTTTGATGCCCCAATATAGATATCAAAAGATGGAGTGAATCGGAAGTGTGACTAAAAAGAACCGATTATTTTTACGTTTCATTTCAATTGGACGAGAGATTCATTAATTTGGTTGGTCCTTAGTAGATTGGTGATTGATGGAAGAGCTTAAGAGGAAGAGGGATAGGAATGGGGGGAAGGGGGAAAAGCGAGAGCAATGATCTTCAAACATGCCGGAAGTTGATGAAGGACCCAGGTAAGGTAAGGTTCTCTAACATGCAGGAGTACGGCAAGAAAAGAAAGAAAAGCAAAGAAGATTATTATATGGAGCACCTAGGTATTATTATACAGTTGTGTTTTTCTAAGCTCAATTTGTATATTATAAGGTGAGCAAAGGCAAAATTAGGATAGTCTTGAGGCGTTTATATGAATATGCTTATTATCCAGTCAATACCTCCCTCTGCTTTATTCGCGCGCGATTGTTTCCTTCTATTTTAATCGTGCTGTAGTTTCAATATTAATGCTACCGTTTGACTGACCGGCTTCTGCGAGTCTTCTATCATGTGCGTTGAAGCATATTCAAGCATCTAGGTAAACACCATCCTCTCTTCTACGTTTATGTGGTATCGCATCGTGTATCTCTAAGGCTTAGAATCAAAAGATGTACAGTGCACAAACCGCTAAGAAGTGTGTGGTAGATGCTGACGATATGAGCAACACCATCGCTGACATTGAAACATGCCGGCCGTTTTGCGTCTTAGTAAGAAGGGTTTGAATTCTTCACACAAGAGTATCAAGGATATCAAGGCCCAAAATATAACCACATGGAAATGGTACTCCATATGGCATAGCTGCATGTAAAGTAAAGGTATGTACAGGGAAGCAACGTGGACATGTATCCAGTCCCGGAATCCTAAACTTTGGTTCATGTGAGGGTGAGAGGATGAAAGGGGGGCACCAAGAGGTCCACGCCCTCGTGTCGGCAACCAGTGAACACAACGTGAGATGTGGATATGAATGTTGCTTGTATCGTATCGTCGAGGGTTTGATGTATATCGACCAGTCATTCATTCGAAGTGTTGGATGGAGATGTTGGTGCATGTAGTGTAACATCACATTTGAAGAAATTTGAGGTAGGAAAGTCTAAAGTCATCCTTGTGCTTGATACGATAGGATTAATCGGGCTGCGTGGTGCCATTCTTTGCTTTTCTGCTTGTAAACTCTAAACAACTACTTTGCAATCTACATATAGCTACACTTGCGATTATATACTTGAGTATCACACCACACTTCCCATATGTACGAGTAAGGCGAAGGAAAGACATCACAGTACAGTACAGTACAAGAAAATGGCGCATCTGCAATAGCTGACGGACAGGGAAGAAAAACATGGTCGGCATGGTCAGGATGGTTGTGGTGAGAAAATAGATGCATCCATCACCCCCAATAAGCACGAGGTCGAAGGGACTAGGTAGAGTACGTACCGAAAAGGTGCAACAGCTCAGCCCAACCTCGGGATCATCTCATATCCGTCATACGGGGTTATACATCCGGTAGATTTGAACTTTTGGCTAATTAGATATTTCTAGAGAGAACCCTTATAAGTTGGGTACCTAGGTACTTAATGAATAGAGTTTATCTAGTGCTGTATATAGTACTGATATACCTATATATATGCGGACCGGACCGTCCACAGCCTTCCTTAAAAGTTCGTTCCCTCTCATGAAACAGTAATCATTATTTTTTCATCTCAATCCAGAATCTTGGCAAACTAATTGGCAATTTGATAGTTTGGCCAATCTAATTCGTCCCGTCCCAAAATCTCTCTCCATCTGACCAATGACATTCAAATGTACAAGGATGAGCTTACATAGGTAGTAATCACTGCGACTCTTCTCTCAATTTTCTTCACTCATTTTCTTGTCCAATGCTCATCAGTGAGATTTCTAGGATCTGAATATGAATTAATAATCCATACAGGGGGTAGGGGAAGAACATTCGTGGTTTAACTATTGAGCTAGTTAATATCGAGTAAAGCACTGTTAAGCCCCACTTTGGAGATAAATATCAAGCGGCTAACTTCTTGAAGGATTCTCATAAATTTCAACCAATCACACAGTTTCATGCCAAATTAAGGTTTTAGGTTTGAGGTGGGGTATATTTACTTTTTTTGCTCATATTTCTGTTTTTGGAGAGTGCGGTCGTTATTATTATTGTAAAAAAAGAAAACTCTTCAAGATCAAGGCCATCATTTGTTGATTCTTGCAAAAACCTTCACATTTCCACTTCTTTCTATTCTCTTATTAGAAGAACCACTTGCACTTTGCAATCTTCCTAGTGTTCTACTCTAAGAATATACATCATCCATCCATTCACTCCACGTCTCCATCAAGTTCATCTTTTCTCCTCTCACCATATTTCGTACTCTTTTTTTTTGAAGCCCCTCACTTCGTTTCCACGATACAACCTCTCTCTCTTATCAAATTCATTCTCTTCCAAATCCATAGCAAAGATGTCAGAGATCACCCACCCCACTATCAAGGGTATGTCCGAGTAATCATCTTCTTCTGTTCTACCTCACCCGTCATGTTCTACAAAAACTCAAATATTGTCTCAAGTGAGACAAATCCTTAAGAGAGGGGTTGTCAGATTTACCCGACGGTTAATTGGGCATTGCCCGATTGATTATTACGCCTCTTCGGCCTGCATTTGATGTCGCCCCATCACATCATCTGCGAGAACGTGCTATATCCGGCAATATGCAAGAACTACCCGAAAGCTAATAAGGTGATTACAGATGGCTGGTTCCGCGAAATCTCCGAGATGTGGCCTGGGCAGGCAATGACCCTCAAGGTTAAGAACGTCCTTCACCACGAGAAGAGCAAATATCAAGATGTTTTGATCTTCGAATCCACCGATTATGGTACCGTCTTGGTCCTCGACAATGTCATTCAGTGCACTGAGCGCGATGAGTTTTCATACCAGGAAATGATCACCCACTTGGCTATGAACTCCCACCCAAACCCAAAGAAGGTCTTAGTTATTGGTGGAGGGGATGGAGGTGTCTTGCGTGAGGTCGTCAAGCATGAATGCGTGGAGGAAGCCATTCTCTGCGACATTGATGAGGTGAGTCGCAGATATATGAGTTTCTTGACTATACTTTATATTGACATCTTGTAACAGGCCGTCATTCGCCTTTCTAAGAAATACCTTCCTGGCATGGCTATCAGCTATCAGCATCCTAAGGTCAAGACTCACATCGGTGATGGCTTCAAGTTCTTGGATGATTACAAGAACGAATTCGACGTCATCATCACTGATTCTTCCGACCCGGAGGGACCTGCCGAAAGCTTGTTCCAGAAGCCGTACTTTGAGTTGCTCTTCGGTGCTCTCAAGGAGGGTGGTGTCATTACTACACAAGGTTGTACGTTTCATTTCTCTGTGCCTACACTCCTAGTGCTGTGTGAAGTAGCGGTGGGCCAATGATATCCGCTTTTTTCTTTAACCCTCATATATACAGATTCCCCTTCTTACCTATGGTCAGACCTCGAATGCTAACGTTCTCTTTCTATAGCCGAGAATCAATGGCTCCATCTCCCAATGATCACTAAGCTCAAGCAAGACTGCAGGGAAGTCTTCCCCAACGTCGAATACGCCTACACCACCATCCCTACGTACCCTTCCGGCCAAATCGGCTTCATGGTCTGCTGCAAGGACGCCAATCGCGATCTCAGCAAGCCACTCCGTAAATGGTCCTCAGAAGAGGAAGAGAAGTTGTGCCGCTACTACAACGCTGCTATCCACGAGGCAAGCTTTATCTTGCCAACTTTTGCCCGTGCTGCCTTGAAGTAGGGTGTTGACCCGGCTTGATTTTCATGGCGTTGAGAATACAAAAATATAGACACAAAACATAAATATGTTTAGTGATGTCTTGGCCATAGCTAGCTCTTGGGTATCGGGATTATTGATGTCTACGGACTTCATAACTCTAGCAAAGTTATCAAACTTAAAATGAATAAATGAATGAATGATGACACAAAATCAAATGTTCTCACTTTAAGCCGTTGATACCGTTTGTAGAAAATTAGCAATGATCAAGATTGCCACCAAGAATTGTAATATCCGACTGATCTTCATCTTGTAAATTGTTTAAAGCCTCAAATCTTGCTTCCATGTGTACTCCTCACCTAAACTAAGGAACACCCGGACAGCGGACCGCATTTTGGCAGGGCTGGAATAGCCGCGAGACATCCGGAAGTTACTATATTGGTGCACGTTCCTTCGCCGTATTTGTCATCCCACCACACACCAATAACCAAATGTATTTCAGGTTATGATGATCAAAACAACTCTACGATTTCTATCAAAGTTCACTCTTGTACAAACAATCTCATTTTCAAGACAGCGTATTTGCAACATGTCTCAATTGCTTAAGAAACCAGTTAAAATCGCCTTAATACAACTGGCTAGTGGTTCGTCCTCCCTAAGCCATATTCGTTAACAAACTACATGATACACTACCGGTACAGGTGGCTAACAAAGTCACAACAGGCGCGGACAAATCTCTGAATCTTGCGCACGCTCGCGAAAAGGTTCATGAGGCTGCATCGGCCGGTGCAAAAATCATTGTACTCCCTGAGTGTTTCAACTCTCCTTATGGTACTCAATACTTCCCCAAATACGCGGATACTCTCCTACCTTCTCCCCCCACATCTGAACAATCGCCCTCATTTCACGCCCTCAGTGCGATGGCCGCAGAGACCAACACCTACCTCGTAGGCGGTAGCATTCCAGAATACTCTCCTACCACCAAAAACCACTACAATACCTCGTTAACATTCTCCCCATCTGGTGAATTGTTGGCTACCCATCGAAAAGTTCACCTATTTGACATTGATATTCCCGGGAAGATCACATTCAGGGAATCGGAGGTTCTTTCTCCGGGCAATCATGTTACTATGATTGATCTCCCAGAGTACGGTAAGATAGCTGTGGCGATCTGTTATGATGTCCGATTTCCAGAATTAGCTATGATCGCCGCGCGTAAGGGATGTTTTGCCTTGATATATCCTGGCGCCTTCAATACTACAACGGGACCTTTACATTGGAGACTACAAGGACAAGCAAGAGCTATGGACAACCAGATTTATGTGGCCTTGTGCAGTCCCGCTAGAGATGAAACTGCGAGTTATCATGCCTGGGGACATAGTTTGGTCGTTGATCCAATGGCGCAGGTTCTTGTTGAGGCTGGCGAAACGGAAGAAATTGTTTATGCTGAGCTTGATGGACAGAAAATTGAAGAGACGAGAAAGGGAATACCGATACAGACCCAGAGAAGGTTTGATATATACAAAGACGTCAGTGAAGACTTTCAAAACGGGGATGAAGAGTAGTAGACCGTGATGAGATGCTACAATAGCTACTACATTCTTAGTGGCATGGCGTCTCTACGTATAGTTCTTTCAACCTCAATAACCATTTTGAAGGAAATTATAGCCAGGAGATTGGTTTTCTGATAATGTGTAAGTCCTCTACAAATACCAGGTATGGATTGCTGTTCGAGGTGTTTGCGTTTTCCGTATGCGGTAATATCATGAATCCCAAGAATGACATACGTTATTAGAGACTTGATTCGAGACTTCACATGGAAGCAACTGCTCATTGGGCTTTGATCTGTTACCGGATCAATGGATATCAACGCCGGTGACGAACGGGTAATGAGCAGCAAGTGTTGGCATAGCTAAAGTGGAAGGTGCAAGTTGAGCTTGGTTTATTGATACTTGAGTTCCGGAACATGCAATCCCGTCGTATGGCGACACCTCAATTTGCTCTTTTCATTTGTATTGTGATCTTGATCGATTTTCACTATTCCTCATACTCACTCAACTCATACAGCTTCACGTTCATTTCATAAAACAAAAATAAATCATTACACTCGTTTTGTTACATTCATTTATCACAAATATCCTATGGAATCCGTTATCTCATGTCCCCTTAAATTATTGTTCGCTTTTACAACGACCAATGGACTCTCTGTCCGTTGGGCCTGCTGAAGCATCTGTCACTGGCCGCAGAAGGACATCTTCTGCACAGAGTACCGGTTTTGAGTACCCTACTAATTGTCGTGTTGAGGAAGATATCCTCTCTCGAATTCGTGCACTCGTTCTATCCCGCAATACAAGCCGTCCACCTCGAACTCCTCATCCATCCGACGAGCGTAACCCTCCACGATACGAGAATCGAGCCTTTGGAAGCCTCGACGAATATATCACTCCCCAAAAGACCGCCCGAGGGGCACGATCCGAGTCTGGGTTCCTCAGCGTGGAGCCACAAGCCCGCGACTTTCAGAGCTCTGACGGTAGTATGGATTTCGACATCACACGCATCCAAATATCTCGACAAAACTCCAGCCCTAGTGTGTCTACAAATAAACGTACGACCAGACTACGAGGCTCGAGCTCTGCAAACGATCTTCGTATAGACGGCGGTGCTGCGGATATTGATCCTTACATCGATTCAAAACTACTCGAAACAACATCTACGCAGAAGCGGAAGTATTTTCGACTTCCTAAGTTAGTAGTGCGAGATATCAAGGAGCCTGCTAAAACCAGCAATTCCAGAATTGCAGTCAAGACCTGTCTTCCTATCAATACCACATACCAAAAGGTTCCTACGGAAGACACTTCTGACCAAGATCTCAATTCACCTTGTCCGCACTGTGAGCAGTCAATCAACACTGAATGCCCGGTACTTGCGGTAGCCGACGCAAGCTTATCCAGATTCTCTACACTTCCTCAGTCTCCTCCAGAGGAAGTAAAAGGCCAACCAGAGATTGCTTGTTCCCCGACGTGTCCTCCAAACTGCAAAGAACATTACATTTATCACCCGCTTCCCGCTACTCTCCTGCTGCTGCAAGATGAATTCAAAATTGATATAAGAATGGCCGAAGAAGATAGAACCGATCTTGACCTTCCGCTCAATGACATTGATGACCAACAATCATTGAGGCAATCCTTGAGCTCCAAGCCCAAGTCATGTGGTCCTCGTGCCCAAGATATCATGAAGTCGGAATCCTCCTTCAGAACAGCGACCATAACAAATCCACGAGATACTGAAGGGTCCCCACCCCCAACCCGAGGAAGTAGTGTCAGCTCAATTGATACCTTTCCTCATGTTTTGACCAGTGAGATGGCACTTGATGAAGTCGTTTCTCGACCACTTTCTTCAGCAGTCGTCACCAATTTCAGCTTGCCGGGACCTAAAGCCAAAGCTACGTTTTCGTTATCCAAGGATGAGGCGCGACCAGCTGTACCTAGGCGAGGTCGGTCTCATTCGATTGGATCTAATCGAGCTAAACCCCAAACACCATCATTACTTTCCGGAGCATCCAGAACCTCTGTTCGCCACTCTCTACTCAAATCTTCTGGCGCCACAGGTACGCCTATAGATACTGGACTACCAGTCCCACCTGTTTTGACGTCTGTAATATTAGTATCCAACAGCACGACAGAAAAGGATGTCACGCCGAGCCAGGTCGTCACGCCCAACCAGATTGTCACGCCGAGTCAGATTGTCACGCCGAGTCAGATTGCCACGCCAAGCCTGGGCACAAAAATACCACTAGAGCCAATATTGGCCGATCTCGCTGCGGCAGCTGCGGCAACCGAGCTCTCTACGCCGAATTCTGTGTATGATAAGGAGTGGCTTGCAAACCGACCTTATAATCTATCGCGAGACAAGCTCGTTATAGAAGAGATATCGCCTTCGTGTATCAAGCTAGGCTATATTGACAAGTCAAGCCCATCAGTTCCATTACTGACTGCGGTCGTAACTGTTCCTAGAAGGCCACAAGCAGCTCAAAGCCCTGGCGACTCGTCTGATATTAAACCTAGTATTCCTGAACGCAATAAAGCTCGTTTGAAAACCCCGACCGATCAGAAGTCTGTGGAAGAAATACAGCGGCAAGATGCCACGGAGGCTTTTCCACCTGTCGATCCTCTCAATGCATCCTATTGGGGCTTTGTACCTGCAGTCAAAGACGCTGTTCAAGATGCGGTCAAGGTCGCTGTCCGTAATGCCGTGCAGGATATAGTCGTACCACCTGGAATTGAAAAGGCCGAGGCAACTGATGCATATAGAATACTTGTTGCTAATTCCTTAGCTGAAGCAGCCAAAACTGCCGATGAATATCTGCGGCGGGACTCTTTGTGGACTCAGGCACCAGAATCGGCACCAGAGTCTTACTTTGATGACATGGCAGCTCAGATATCAAGAATCGATTTTTCTCCTACCCAGGAGGAGAAATTGAACCCAAGTTCAGATAAAACTAAATCTCAAGGTCTTTCAACGAACCCTGGTGAAATGGAAGAAATCCCTCTAAGCTCAACTAGCGGAAATAGAAGACAGGAATCTTCAAAAGCTACCACCACTATCTACGATGCTATTCCTGCACGGGATTCTTCGAAGAAACGCGTTCCGAAATCTGAAAGCAGAAACGCAAATTCGTCTGCTATCTTTTCTCAAAGAGACTCTACTAATCGACGTGGATCTAGAGAAGGCTTGATGTCTGTTGCTGACTCTGCTACAAACACTACGTTGGACGACAGGACAACGAACGGGAGAAACACTGTTCATTGGCTCAAAGAACTACTGAGCAGTAATGATGCATATGCACCTAGACTGACCGCCTTACCACCACGGTCTCGACGCGCCGAAGCTCTGAGTGGGTCTAGCGGACGTCAAAGATCGTTCACAGCACCAACAGTGCCGGTAGACGAGCTTTTCCTTGGAGCTACACCCAGCCCCCTCGAGACGAAGCCAAAACTTACTTTTGCTGATCCGAATGACAATGGGGCAGCTGTTGCAGCAACCTTTACAAAGACTATCAATGATCTTGAAAAACTTCTCAACGAAGCACTATTCATTGCGAGACAAGCTGCAGAGAAAGACGATGATAATAGTGTCCCAAACCTTCTCAGTAACGCAGCTGCAATTTTAAAAGGCGGTCGCAAATTCATGGACAAAGGGAGGTCTTCTGGTCCTCAAAAAAGTCAAAGAAAGCCTAGAGCCGAAGTAATGTCAAGCGTTGAAAGTATTCCGAGTGTTCACGAAAGTGCTCGAAGTTATTCTGGTACAAGTACCGAAGGCAACACCGATGATGACGAATTTACCGAAGATGAAAATATGCGCCAGGCCCCTATCGCTGATGTTGTGGTTAAGGAGCAACCGGAAAGGCTGAAGAAAACGGAGACACTCGATACCCTTGACATGCCTGATCAGACTTTTAGAGGCCGCGAGCGAAGCACTACTTGGGATAGTGGTAGAGCCTTACATGCCTTGGATCTTTCAGGTAGTCCCAAAAGACAGCAACCACTGACACAGCGTCTCAGTATGCCAAGACAAAGTACTGCGGGGGTTTCGCCATCATCTGAGTCAAATAGGTTCGATCTCCCGGGCCGTCCAAGTAACAGCAATCTTGAGGTATGTCGAAAATAGTCTATTTCGTCTTGCTTTGTAATCCTCTTGGTAAAAGATGTGTTATTGAAGTATGCTGACAGACACAGAAGCCATCAAGAACCACTACATCTGGCGGGTTTGGCTGGCAAGACATTTCTGAGCGCCCTACGGTCTACCAATCTCCTAGTCTTATGCGATCCCAGAGTGGTGAAGAAATGCGTCCCGGAAGACAACTTTACGAAGAGGACGCAACCACACTTGCAAAACTTCCCGTCACTGCACTACGTGGCAAATCTTCAGTGTCAAACAGTCTTGATGGCTCGCATCCCTCTGAGACTGTTGATTTCCAGACAGGATTTCATCATGAGTACATTATGCAACATGTTGAAGGAAAGGGTGGACCAATTCGAAGCCAACCGCGAAGTCGATTGAGAAGTCGAGCTCAGTCCCAGTTTCGACAGGCTGCACAAGGTGGCGAGGGTGGTGAAAGTACAGAGGACAGAGATAAAGTGAAGGAATTACGAGAAAAGCGCCCCGCTTTAGATCGAGAAGGTTCAAACCGTTCAATGAACATAAACACGAATTTGAGCCACCATTTTTTCAATCTCCAAGGCAAAAGGCACGTAAGTCTAAAAGATCATAAAGGTTTCAGTCTCGCTAGAACCCACAAGCGAAAACCTATTGCCAGAGATTGGTCTTCTTCTCGGAAGAGGTTCACGGCTGTCATCACGTGCCTCAGTACGTTCCTCGTTGGTCTTGTGATTGGCATCTATGCTGGCGAGGTTCCTTCAATCCAATATTTGATTGTGGATTTGCACCATTTCACAGTTCTTGGGAATGTTTTCTTTTTCATAGGTCTTGCCATTCCGACCACATTCTTTTGGCCACTTCCACTTTTGCATGGTCGAAAACCATATATTCTTGGTTCAATGTCACTCGCTATGCCACTACTATTCCCTCAGGCTCTGGCTGTCGGTGCGACTCGAAATCCAAAATTGGCTGGTTGGAGAATCGGACTACTTCTTTCACGGGCATTCATGGGCTTTGCACTTGGTTTTGCTAACATGAACTTTTTGTCTACTCTGATGGATCTCTTTGGTGCTTCACTGCAAAGTGCGAATCCTCATCAAGAATATGTTGATGAAAGTGATGTCAGACGTCATGGAGGCGGCATGGGTCTTTGGCTAGGTATATGGACCTGGTGTTATGTTGGGTCTATCGGTGTTGGATTCTTGCTCGGTGCAATCATTATCGACTTTTTGACGCCTGCTTGGGGCTTCTATATTAGTATTGCAATTCTTGCTCTGGTCTTGGTTCTAAATGTCGTTGCTCCTGAAGTTCGACGTTCTGCTTTTAGAAGGTCTGTTGCCGAAGTCAGAAAAGACGATCAGGTGTCCAGAAGGCTGGCCAAGGGCGAGGTTAAAATGCATAGAGTTCATACGGGACCAAAATGGTGGGGTGAGGAATTTCATCACGGTTTGCTCCTAACGCAGAGCATGATGCGTCAGCCGGGATTTCTGGTTCTGGCATTTTATCAGGCGTGGATTTACGGTCAGATCATTTTAATCATGATTGCAAGTTCTTACCACTCTCCCCGGTATATAGTAATTTGCTAACAACGGCTAGCTTCTCGGTTCATTGACTTCAAAATATTACAAGTTCAAATCTCCATATGTTGGCGCAAGCGTGGCTTCAATTCCGCTCGGTGCACTTCTCTCGATTCCATTTCAAAAAGCAGGAATCTTCAGTCGAGAACGTAAAGAAGGAATTGAAAGTGACGATGATACGTTGAAGAAAAAGAAGGTCTCTCTATCGTCTCATTTCGTTCGACGCTCGATTTTTGTTATACTTCTTCCATTCATGGGCCTAGCTTATACACTTTCATCCACCGGGCCACCAGTTCCATTCATATTACCCATCATCTGGGCTGCTGCGATCGGTTTCCTTTCGAACCTCGCAGTTGCCGAATGTAATGGTATCATTATGGAAACTTTTGATACTTCAGATCTTCAACCAGGTATGACGGGGCGTCCGAGAAGCGGCAGTAAATCCGGCAAAGTAACGAATTACTCTTGTTTCCCGCGCGTGTGCGCTGCTTTCGGTATTACGCAAGGTATGGGATTCTGTATTGCGGCGATGGCAAGTGGTATCGGAGGGGTTGTACAACGACAGCTGGGCCAACAAGCGGCCACGGGCGTTATGTGTGGTGTTTTACTCATCCTTTCTGTTCTTCTCATTTGCGTGCTCGCGCGTTTCCAAGACGTACAAATCATCCCGGATTCGAAAACGAGCGAGTTGGAACGCTATCAGGCGATGAAGAGGGAGCAATTTATTCAAGGAAATACTGGGAATGATGCGGAAGACGATTGGAAGCCGATCATTATTGGGAATCCGACACATATCATGCGCAGGATGAGTGTGCTAGAGTTGGGGAGTATGACAAGATGGAGTGAGATTCGGAAGAAAAATCGATTGGTGGACGAAAAGAGTTTGGAGGCCCGGCATGCAAATTTGAATACGTTAGTGCAGGTGGAGAAAAAATTGAAGGAGAAGAGGAAGCATGTTGTTGAGACAATGAGGAGGAGTTTAAGTAATAGTAGGGATGGTGGCGATGATGTTAGGGAGTATAGTTATGAGGAGAAGATTGCCACTAGTAAATTAGTGCCGGTTGGAGGGGGTGGTGAATATGGAGATGAGAGGATGGATTTCAGAGAGGATAGGATGGGGAGGGTTAGGGGCAATACTGGTAGGGAGAGTCGGGGCGGAGAGTTGAGGGAGAGGGTGGTCCAGGAGAAAGAAATTACGACGACGCAGAGGAGTCGAGGAATCTCGCAAGCTCAGGGACAGGAGCTTGGCCTGAAGGATCTAGGTGGCTTGAGTGAAATTGATCTAGGGGTTCCTGAGGGGGGAGCTGCTACAATGGATAGGATGGAGGAGGAACAGGAATTGGGTGGGAGGAGTAGAGGGAGTAGGGGGGCGAAGAATGGGGAGAGGGAAAAGGAGAGAGAGGGGTATGATCCGAGGTTGAGGAGGGGCACGGTGGCGCTTAGTAGGGGAGAGGTTGTTGGGGAGTTGATGAAGTGATGGATGGATGGATTGATCGGAGTAGGATTAGGATGGATAAATTGTTAGGTTAGAATAAAGAGAACAGGAGAACTTGGCCCTTGGGGGTATCACATGCTTTTTAAGGGGGTAAGAGGAGTAGAGTAGATTGACTAAATGAAATTGAAATCGAAATGAATATCTTTAGTGAGATGAAGTGAAACAAAGTGAATGGAGATGAAGTGAATTAGTTTGAAGTGAAGCGAATTCGGTTAAAATGAAAGTGAATTTTGATATCTTACAAAATCCCCTGCAGGAAACCCACCGTGACCGTGACAGTTCAAAGTCAAAGATTTGATATGAATAAGATAAGAGTTTGGATACGAGTTGGAGATTTGGGGGTTGGATGGATGGATGAGAGATTGGGAGATAGTTGTGAGTAGTGTAGTGTAAAAATATAATGTTATCAAATTAAATTATAATATATAGGTAGGTAAGTTGGTTGGTTGACTATTTTCAAAACCTTCCACTCGGGACTTGAAGTTATAGTTATGGTTAAGCTTATCTCTCCTGTGTCTATATGCGAGTAAAGGCAGTGTAATGGTGCAGAAAGATTGTATCGCCGTCTAATTTGTACATACAATCAAAAGAGAACATCATACCAGCCAGCCAGTAACAAGACAGTAGAATCATAACACTATATATATATTCTACCTATATCAAAAGATTCCTTTCTCCCTCCCTAGCAAAATGGCAAAAAGAAAATGACCAAAAAACATGCAACAGTGGGGATTCGCTGGTGGTCACCCACCCAACTACTAATCCACCGATCTGAAGCTTGTGTATGGCAGAGCGGACGGGATGCCCAATTCTCTTCAGTCTATGGTCGCATGTGGAGGGATGGGGGGTATTTTGGGCTTTGTATGGATGGATAGATGGAGGCATGGTGGGATGGGATGGGGTGAGATTTGATGTTGGTGGGGTAATCGGGGATTTGGAAGTGCTCGGTGGGATCTGATCACTGGGATGGGATGGGATGTTTGGGAAGGAATTATGATATGGTAAAATGATGATATGTATGGTTGAAGTGAAAAAGAAAGAACAAAATACTCTCATCGGAAAAAATTAGATGAGACATTTCAATATTGGACTGAGATGTATATCTTGAAATTATGTGTAATTTGTTTGGAAGATATAAGACGAGAGTCTGCCATTGTCTGGCTAGAAAGCGAAGTAGCAAATACTTTGTTTCGAATCTTCGAACTTTCGGGGCTGTAGAAATGAGAGAAGGTAGGTAGGTACCAGTGTTTGAAACTTGAATAGAGGTGGAGCTATGAAGTTCTTTGCTTGGGGAATATGTATATATATATCAGATGAGAAGTTTTCAGATATTGTGATCGAGGTGTGACATCGAATTGATGGGCGTAAGCAATGCATATTGTCTTTACAAATGGTTGGATTAAAAATCCTTGACGTTTTGTTGAATGGAAATGGAAGCATCGAAAGTTTTTCCTCTGATGTCGGTGCAAGAATGATATATTAATATCACATACCAGTGATCAATGAAATATATCGTGATGTTAAGCTAAGTACGCAGTATTCAACTTCATGCAAATCATTAATGTATATTAAAGCTCAATAGATACATCCAGAGTATTGCTCGTTTCTTAGGTAAAAGCAAAAAGATAATGATAATCGCGTAATCTTCCTCCACGCAGCATGAGTATGTAGTCATATACTCATTGAAAGCCTTCTTATCACCTCGAGATACATAATCGTTGATCTCTAGAAAAAGTTCGCAGTCTGGTATCTCTTCACCTGGGAAAGCCGTTTAGTAGTATTGGTACCCTTAATCCAGCACCAACAATCTACCACTGTACTACAGTACATAACAAATGCACCAAATGATAAGTATATTAACATCGTACATTGAACTCGACTTCTTGCAGGACTCGCCGGCCGCAATGAATCAAGTGCTATTTCGAGCATAATGTAATAATAACTCGCTTCATAAGAACGCGTAAGGATCTAGTGAGTTTTGTAGCTCGATTTATATAGTATATTAAAATTGGTATTGATTCCAATAAGTTCGGTTTTTCGAAGAATTTAAAGATTGAATAGATGATGTAATAGATTATTTGGCAGGAAAATCCAGAACGTTGAGTTTGCGTCGGTGAGTGTTATGTAAAGGTAGACTGCACTATATACATTGAATAACCCTGCTTATAAATAACTATCAATTGCTAAGTTCAAGCTATGACGAGATCAGATCAAATCATCTTTACCACACCACATCATCGTATATCGCAAAGAAGATGTATGTTTAGTACTTCCATGAAATAGGCCTCTAGAGACTAGAGTTGAATCTGTAAATTTGAAATATTGAAGCGATTGCAGAATATAGAGGCCCTGGGGATTATACAGAAAAGTGTATACAGAGAATTTCTCCATGCGAGCGAGTACCATTGTTTGGGAGACGATTCCAGGTCACTTTACAAACTTTCCATATCTGACAGACTGACAAATGCCAAGTATCCTAGGTCCGAACACATCCGATGAATTGAGCAGCCATCATATATCATATCTCATGTATTGGAGGCCAATATTGAATCGACGCTCTTCTACTTAGAATTCCGATGCGATGTAATAGATCACATATCGATTCCGGAATCATGAACCTAATAATTCGCTCGAGATATTAATAACTGAGGAATATGACTCAAATATCACCTAGACGACATTCCGAAATAAGTATAGTGCGCACTAGCATAGCCAAAGTCGTGTAAAGGGCGAGACCTCATAGACCAGTTCCTTCTTCTACAAGATATTTTGTAGAATCTGCCTTGTAGATTAATGAAGCTTATCACCGATGCACACAGACCAACGGCAGTAACGGTAGCAAATATATCAGAAGAGACTTAGACAAGCAGAGAGCAAAAGGTGCAAAGTAGTGAAAGCACTGAAAAATCTCAAAGGAGAGAGACGGACGAGGAATAGAGTAATAGGATTTTCAAATTGTGGCATTGCGATTCCTCACGTACAACTGAAATGCATTGAACCGCAGTACATGAAATAATTGGTAGACTATTAACAATCGTGTACCACAGCAGAGGCACATGACCAAACTAAAGAGACTCTGCAGATGCCTTTTTCCAGCTGTCTCTAGCTTGAATTCCTTCCCACCACTTGTTCACATGAGGGTATTTTCCAAGTAGACCTTGGAATCCATATTTCAATGCCTGTGAACCATGCGGCAAATGGTACAAATCAGCCAAGGTAAACTCATCTCCAGCAAGATATTTCTGCTTCGAGAGAATTTGCTCATAGGCTGCGAGGTTCTTGTCAAGAGTTTGGATGTGTTTTTGAACATTCTCCTCGTTGGTGGCGCCCAATCCCCTTGCACTGTTTCTGTCAGAATTCATGTTCCTATTATGCCATTGGAATTTGAGAAGCTTACGGCTTTATAAACTTTTCGAACCAGAGACCGAACGCTTCGGCATCGAAATAATTCTGCTCTATCGAGCAAGCCTGGACATATTAGTTTGTGCACGTGAAAGGATACCGGGTAGTGAAACTTACTTGTTCGAACAACCCGTATGCCTTCGGATCCCCCTCGGCGGGAATAAGGTTTGTACCCTTATCGGCATATTTTCGAGCAAGATACTTGCAAATGGCTCTGCTCTCATAGATTAAGAAACCATCATCGTCGAGGACGGGAACCTTTCCAAAAGGCTGCATCGCAAGATGCGAAGGTTCCCTCTGCTCTCCCGCCATGAGGTTGACAATAATAAGCTCGAAGTCGATGCCCTTCTCGGCGAGTGTGGTGAGCACTCTTTGAGTGCAAGTTGCTTGGCGCATACCATATAGTTTGAGCCCCATTTTGTAAGTGATGATTGGTATTCAAGAGGTTGATGTGTGAGGTGTAAAATTGTATTTTGATGATGATTATGACGATGATGCTTGGATGCTTGAATGCTTTTGGAGATTGAAGTATCACCCACTCGAGGATTTGCTTCTTTATATACTTCAACACCATTTGCATGAGGCATTGTATATGAACCTCCGTTCGAAGTCTTCAAAAAATTATGAACAAATCCTTGGACAGTTATGCAAGCGGAGCGGGTATATCGACCATCCGAGTACGATGTTATACATGATTACCACTCATCAAATCGCAATAGACGACCTACTTGGGCAGTGAAGGCTGAAATCTGACAAACCACTTGGAATTTCAGTGGTATGTTGATGACGAGAATATGTAAGCTGACAAAATTAATTATCAAGCAAAGCCATTTCAATTCCATAATTCGTGGGGGTAATAGCAGAATACGCGTAGTAGGCTAATATTTATATTAGTAATGTAGCAAATAACGTCTAAAACGGTTAGCGCATTTTTGAGCTGACAGTAAGTGCACAACTATAGGTACACTTCGACACTTGTCATTGATAATTACTGCCAACAAACCAAGGCATGGCCGCGAGTGTGACGAAGATCCGAGAAGCTCTGCGATGATACATCTGGAAAGAAAATAGATCACCAGCTAGCAGACTGATGGCTTAAAATCGATGGTTCTAAGCTTCAGAAGCCCCCAATGAGAGATTTTCGAGCGAGGCTTGGGATAAGAGTGACATGGACGAAATGCCGATGTTGGATGGTTTGTGCTGAAAACTGTGAGATTAACCCTCTAATTGGTTACAAGTCACACTTTTTAACCTCAACCTTGTCTTAAGTCAACATCGCTTGCCAATTGTGGTGATGGCTTGGAGCATGTAGGTACGGTCCCAGGTTCTATGGCCATTTCATGCATTTTCCTTCCTGCCGCATCATCAAAGAGATACAATCCCGTAGACTACAATACTGGACGGGCTAACCCAGGTATAGATACTTAGCGTTGATTCAAGCCACGATAGAGGCTTCTAAGCTGACCGAGGTGGTCATAATTTGACTGTTCGGATGCCGAATGGGTGGCTCCGATATTCTGCTCGCGAGATCTCCACAACATAGCAAGATAGTAACATGGGTTTCCGTATTTCAGCACGAGTTTCTTTTTCAAACTTCCATTCTAACGCAACTTATGTGCCTACTAAAGCCCTGGATCCGAACCAGGCAGATTGACAATGGCAGGTGACGATAATTCAACCAAATCCGGTATCGTGGGATGAGATGTTTAGAACTCGGCGCCCAGTTTCCTCTGAAATCTCAAATCTGGGAGCGCTCTTGTCACCGCTGATCACGAAAAGAAATTTTGGTGACGATTTGATATTTGACAATCTGGGTATAGAAAACTGTTTGAAATAGTTTCTGTCGAGAGCTCTAGTAGACCCGAAATGCCTTGTTTCCGTCCTCGAATTTCGCCCCCAGAGTTCCTTTCGAAGCTATGGACCCCAAATAATCGGCTGTTCTATTTTCATCTCGACAATGACCGACACGCCCCACCACATCCTCGAAGTAAATGGGCATTGTCGATGCACTGCTAGACTAGAATAAGAGAAGCCAGATAATATCTGCGTAGGCGTAGCCATGCTCAACTTCCCCAAGCTCATAACACTCTGAGAGAAGTTCAAATTTGGCCAAACAAATAGTCCGCAAACGTCCATGGACGATTCACGGATAAGCCTGAGAGGGAAATCGTCATTCAACAAGGTAACGTACCTCCTTCAAGTAATGGCAGGCATCTATCTGTGTTTCGTCGTTGTGCAAGAGAAATTTGTTTTGAGGCCGAGAATTTGAATGTTCAATTTGGGGATTGAACTTGGGCACGAAAGTCGTGTTAGCAACCTAGATTTTGTTGGTGATCTGAGTAAGAGAGATTTTGTACGGAGACGCGGGATGAGACTGGGCGGATTGGTGGTGGGTAGAAATGCTTATGTAATCCGCGTAACGCGTTCCGCAATACTTATTTAATTCTCTCTGCAGCATTGCAGAACTCAGCCGATACATTGATGAAGATTCTTTGCATATCGTTTGCTTTTGCTAATTGAGCTTCTTCCATCCCACTTCTTTGAGAGCTTTATTAAGACAGACAGCTGAGATAGTAATAGTTCCGTTGACCGTTGCAAGACGAGCTCTGTTGAGGAGATTCGTCGCCTTCAATAAGTATGGCTTCACTCGTCAGCAACTTCTTTACAGACAATGAATGCTGTGAGATAGACGGCGTTCTTTATTTCTGCTAATAAAATCACCCCAGTCTCTAGATATCAGCTATGTAAATCATATGTACAAGCTTTCACGGCATTCAAACTTCCACCTCCTCGAATCATATCCCCCATATTCAATAATCCCACGTGACTCCGCGAAACTCACCTATCCCATCGCGTTAGTCGTAACACGTCCACCCCGCAGCAGCAAAACACTCACCTTTCGATATACTACACACAAATACTACACATACGACACAACACAGAATTTGAAAGGGGTGTAATCAACTTCTGAAATCTTTGAACCCTTAACCTTACAGACACATCCGACCCGAAATTGAAAGGTGCAATCGGTTTTTCGACGACCTCATAAACTTGTACACCACCGAAAGGTGTCTCGAGTTTTGAAAACTTTTTAAACCTTTATACACGCGACACAATTCCTCCATCTGACCAATTCTTTGCATCCTATTCATTTCCTCTCTCGTCATGGCGACGTCAACACCCTATACCGGCAAGTCTATCACGGATACCTTAGCTACGGAACTTCTTGGCATGATCTGCGGATACCTACCTCGAGAAGATCTGCTAAGTTTTCGACTGACAAGTAAAACCTGTGCTGAAGTTGCGTCGAAAGATCTCGTTCAGGATTTGAATGTTATGTTTACAGAGAAGAGTTTCGAAAACCTGTTGAATATATCAAAACAACCAAGTCTCTCGAAGCATGTCAGAAGCTTATATTATGAGCCACGTACCCTACGTCCTGTTTCAAGAGTGGCACTCGAGACTGCAATGCAAATGGATTGGTATGCAGACAATGGCCCCACGCCATATCCCATTTCTCGAGAACCCATTGAATACTGGGAGTCATACTCCGATATTTCGAACCGCGAGTCGCATATAATGGTATCGTACTACGATATATCTGTGCTGGCACAAGCCCTCCCAAATTTCAAAAATCTCAAAAAGATTAGAGTGGATAGTGACGGATTGCCATCTCCTCAGGCCAGTTCTGCTCACATTCCAACAGGAAATGAATGTAAATGGCTACTCCACCATGATCCAACTGACCAGAATTGCACTAGATTTCGAGCGCTACTATCGATTCTTACTGCGGTTAGCCTGCCAGGCACAGAATTAACCAGTTTTACCGCTACGGTCATTCCTGATAGGTTTTTCCGCATCTTCAATGGTAACCGCAATCTTATGCTTCCAATAGCTCCATATCTCAAGCGTATTGATATATCGCTTGCCCCGATCGACTGGCTCAAGACATCCCGTGAAGTCGACCTAGGTATACACAAATTTTTGAGGCCTGCTGCGAATCTCGAGGATCTTCGTATCGCGATTGATAGGAAATATCTAAATGATGGTTGGGATCACAATACGCCGATTCCTTGGAATTCTGTTGTTGGATCGTGGAAAATTCCGAAACTGCGCAATCTCATCCTCTGTAATGCCTCGGGTACTCAGGAATGCTTCTCCAAGTTTTTGGAGGACCACACAGAAACGCTAGATTATGTGTGTATGGAAAACATGTGGTTGGAGGGAGATATCTCTGGATGGGGAAGCGTTTTTACTACACTTCAGAGCCTAGCGCTCTCGACCTGCCAGCTCGAAGGTACTTGGGCCGGGAGATGGGATGCAAAAACGAATGAGCCGCTGTCGGTCAGCATGGACTTACGATACTATCAAATCCACTCTGAGCGCTACCCAGGCCTATCTGTGCTGCTAAAACGCCTCGAAGATGACGAGAGTCTTGTACCGAATCTTAAGAGATTGCTACAGCTTTTCATTGTTGACGGGCCTTTACCTGCCGGAGACCTAAAGTTTACAGCAAGCAAAGCTTGGGAAATTGCCGTGCGCCAAGCAAAATTCCCGAGGGGTGACATTGATGGCGCCTGAACTGATCAAGATGGCCTTGATCAAGATGAGATGATGACGATACCGGAGAGTTCGATCCCAATAGGAGTTCTTCTGATGATAATTCTGGAGAGTTCAACCTCGCCGACGCTGGATGAGTTTGATCTCGATCCAGATGCCTCCGATACTGGTGAATACGACCTTTTCTAAATTCAACTTATCAATGACGCAGCACCGGAGACTTTTAACTTCCATGAATTTCGCATCATCGATGCGCAGGAGATACACACGAGTTTTGCATGGAGGATAGCTTTGGTCTGAATTTCCGTTTTGCTTTTTCGAAATACCCAATTGCGTATTTTCTACTTAACTTTTCATACCCGTACAATACCAAGGGTCAGTATGTACCAAATCAGGTGGCTGCAAATAGCTTTCGACCACCGACTAAGGCAAATGTGCAGAAAACAATCAACCAATGAATTAAACAAACCTCATCTGTTCTACTCTCGACAAAGTCCATGCATTTCTCCTAGTTCTGCTTGCTATTCTTTCAGTTATGCAATCCCTTGCTTTAATAACACTGCTATTTCGTTTTCTCGCGTGCGTTCATGTTTATACCGCAGTGTACGCTCGAGTATCACACAATCTCGTGTTCTCGTTCTCTATTTCCATCAATAAATCAATACTCCAATCACAATTCCAATCTTTGCCATTCATCTTCACTGCATCATACTTTCTCAGCACCTACCGACTCTAGTTCATAAACTCATCTCTTTACTTCATATCCTAATACCTCCTTCTACTTTATTTCTTACACCCTATTATATTAATCCAATCTTCCTTCATCTCTCGATTTGTCTTCTCTCCACTCTCCCTTTCCCTTTCCTTCCTCACCCCCGTCTCCATCACCATCTCAAATCTTTCTCCTCCTTCACACTCTCCACCACCCTTTCCCCTAACTTCCAAAAACCCCAATACTTTTCACAAATACTCGTACGTACTATCTTGATAAATATCTCTATCCGATAATCCGTCCATCCCACTCCATTCATTTCATCTCAAGTTCTTTTCTACACGTTTCATATTTTCATTCAGTCTTCTCTCATATTGTCTATCTATTCATCCTAACTATCCTAACTAACCTATCCATCTCATCCATCTCATCTATCCCATCCTATCCCTTTTTCATCTCATCCCCTCCCCTCCCAGCCTCTCTCCTCCCATTCCTCGCTTCCCCCTTTCCCCTCAAGACTCAAACATACATCCACTTCAACATCCACTTCAACCTTCACCTTCACCTCAACCTTCACCTTCACATCTCATATCTTCCTCATATCCATACCAAAAAAGAAAATAATACATACCAGTACTCATTCATACCCCCTAGAATAAATCACAATTAACTTATCGAATTTTTTAATATAGGTTTCACCAATTCATCAATTCATCAGTCTATCGGTACGGTACAGTACCGTGACATCGGGGTCCCGGCCAAATTTAGCATGTCACAATACTCGAGTATACTCCACAACAAAAACAAAAAACAAAAAAAGGAACAAACAAACATTTCAACACGATACTATTCACAACAATATCATAATATCAACATCAATATTCCTCACTCAATGAATTCGGAGATTCAAAAAAATCAGACGATAGCATCCATGCCATTCTCATCTGCTCACGCTTTTCCCACTTCCACTCAGGCCCGCCTACCAGTCACGAAAAGCACATTCATGATATTCACACTGGCATGCAGTCGCCCACTACCTACAGTCAGCGAAGGTGCAGCCAGGTAATTTGAAATCAAGATCTCAAATCAAAAGATTTACTTCACTTCCTACTATCATGCTTCAAATGCATATCTTCCCAACCTCTTTACACAAACATTACACACACAAAAGAAACGAGAGAACCAAGAGTAGCCCATCCATCCACCCGCTCATCCACATTCCTCCCTCCTCTTCGTACTTACACAGTTCAAAGGCGAATTCCCATCACCCAATAACGATATGATATGCCCAGCCCAACCAAGATGAAATACTCTCTTTCCTCCTACAAACGGGTTTCCTTAACTATCAAATCATAAACAGGAACAGAAGAGTAGTCAAAGCATCCGCCCCCGCCCTTGCCCCCCCCACCCGTCTCCCATCCATATCATTTGAGCACCCCATCTTGGTCACCTCAATCGCCCGGTGAGAGATAAAAAAAAAAGAAAAGAAAACCAAGAAAAGTAAGTGTCTCATCTTTCTTTCTTTCCCATAAAGATACCTGAAACATCAAGGTAGAATTAAGAAATCCCTTTGAAAGTTCGTCTCAACCTTTGGTTGTCAATTAGCTAATCGATTCGCAGAGTGACCATTAAACCCCTGTTGGACTATAGTTTTTGATCTCAACTTGTGGATGAAGGCCCCGAAGCTTATCTGAAATAGTCCATCCCTTCAGATATTCGTCTCAACCTTGGGTTGTCCGTTGGGTAATCCATTCGCAGAGTGACCATTAAGCCCTGTTGGGCTGGTAGTTTTTGGATCACCACTTGCGGATGGAGGTCCCGAAGCTTGTGCTGAAACAATCCCTCCTTTTTTATCTTCCTCGCCGTCATCATCGTAATTCTCGTCTACATCCATTTTTCGTGCCGCCCGTTCAGGTTCGCTGACTGGTGCAGCTTGTGCAAGAGGCGGGGGAGGGTGCTCCATTCTCTGAGCTAGTGGCGGGGGAAGTGGCACTGGTATTTGTTGGCGATCACGATCACCAATTGTAGTCTCCTTGATTGGAGTAGCTTGCCGAGGAGGCGGACCTACTTCGTAAGCATGAGGAGGCAGCGGACGCGGATCTTGTTGCATGGCTGAAATATGGCCTTGCATACCATGGGTTGGTGGACGATGCGCAGCTTCCGAGGGGTGATAATTCTCATTCGCACGACGCTGTTCAGCTGTGCGTTGTTCAGTTGCGCGTTGTTCAGCTGCGCGGCGCTGGTCTTCAACTCTTCTTTGATTATCTGCTTGTCTTTGCTCTTCGGCGAGGCGTTGTTCTTCAATTCGTCTTTGATCTTCAGCACGACGAGCTTCCGATGTGCTTCGGCGGAACGGTTCCCGGTCTCGAGGTGGAGTAGAAGGTCTTCGGTGATGCAAGTCTTCCAGCCGAGCACGATTTTCATCTGAAGCAGGCTTCTTCATCGCGGGTTCGTCCTCCCATTCACGCATCCGCTTTGGACCTACAGAAGATGGTCTATTATCAACGCGATCTATAGATGCGGCAGCGTCTGCCGCAGCTAAAGCAGATGGTGGTAGTGGAACACCTCCTTCAATCACACTTCTTTCAGCGACATCGGAATGATGGGCATATGGTGGTTGATTAGGAAAAGGAATCTTCGGGGATGCCATGTTTGCACTCATTATTGGTCGAACTTCTGGTCGAGGACTATTACCACGGCCGAAAGGGGGTAAAGGGCCAGGGCCAGCACCATTCATTCCATTTTGAGCTGGTGGTAACACAGATGCAGGACCTGGAGGTGGAGGAGCGTAGTTCGTGTTTGGAACTCTTTGTGGTTGGGAAGGAGGTCCTTGTGGTTGTGCATGAGGAGGAGGAGGTGGAGGCGGAGGCGGAGGCGGCTGTGATCCTGATCCCGCTCCCGCTCCGGGTCCCGGATAAGGACCTAGAGGATGATGGTCGCGGGGGTCTCTCGGATCGCGGGGATCTCGGAGGTCTCTTGGGTCTCTCGGATCTCTGGGATCACGAGGTTGGGATTCCGCGACACGAGGGTCAGCACGAGGATCTTTGTACTCTCTTAGATGTATTAGATCTCTAGGGTCTCTGGGGTCTCTCGGGTCTCTGGTTTCTCTAGGATCTCTAGGGTCTCTCATGTCTATGGGAGCTCGTGGGGGGGAACGAGGGCGAGGGGGAAGTGGCTGACGAGCATCAGCACCAGGGTATGGCCTCATTTGTTGATCTTGTCTAGGACTTGGTACACGTGGTGCTGGGGGGATTGGGCCACGATCAGCTGGGCGTTGTTCGAAGGGATTAGGTGGTTGAGCAGGGGGATTAATCTCAGCAAGTCTGCTTCCCCATGCGTTAGCTGCAGGGGGTACTTGAGCTTGCGCCTGAGGCGCAGAATTACCCCACTGAGGCCCAGGAGGGCCAACAGCACCAGATGCTTGATAAGCCTGTGGATGTACATCTTGTGGTAAAGGAGCAGCTGCCTGACCTGTCATCCCACTGGCCTGTCCACTTCGCAATAATTGCAAACGAGCTTTGATATGAACATTGTTGGGATCAAGTTCGGCAGCACGTTGATAAGCATCCAGAGCGTCGTTGATCTGGTTGTTACATGATTCATACTATACAAATGATTAACAATGTCTCGAACACGACCGGCTAAAGATGAAGCAAACTTACCAGTGTACCCAAGTCGTACCAGACCTCGGAGATGTACGGGTTCAGGCGTATCGCGCGGGAATATGCATCAAGCGCATCTCGGTACTGATTAATTTGGTAGTACAAAACGCCAATCGAGCACCAGAAAGTCGGATTCCGTCCGTCTCGATAAACAGCTTGCTGATAGGCCTCGTATGCCTTGGGATACTTCTGTTGTGACATGTAGCACCGACCAAGGAGGTACCAACTCTGTGCATCACTTTGATCTGCCACGTGTTAGCGTGTGAAATGTGAGACCGATCATATTTGACGAGTCTTACCGGAACCGACAGATTGTTCCAAGTACTCAATGGCCTGCTCTTGACTTTGGAAGCTGGTACTCTGTTGGTGATGCAGCCATCCAAGCTGCTGAAGGACCTTTGCATGTTTTGGATCCCGATCGAGAACACGCTTGTAGGCATGTTTGGCATTATCGTACTACAATCAATCTGTCAATATCACCAATCACATTACGATTTTCGGCCTTACATCTTTTTGTTGCTCGTGAACATGTCCAATCTGGAACCAGATATCTTCTTCCGTCAACGGAGTTGGTGGTACAGTCACAATGTATCGGAAACACTACAAACAGTCAGGAACACATATCATAACTTTTCGATCAGATGACTTACTTCCAAACTCTGTTGGTATTTCTGCTGCTGTTTGTAAATTATACCCAAGCGAAAATAGATCTCGTTGGCCTTTTCGAAATTTGGCTGCATTCTCATTACTTGAGAAAATGCCTCCTCGGCGTGTTCAAGAGAACCATATCTATCATATAGTATTCCGATACCATACCAAAGTTTTGGCTCCTAAAGTGGATCGTTAGATTTGAGATAAAAGTGACTGCGTTCAAATTCACCAACCTTAGGGTCCCGAAGATGATATAGAGCTTGCTGATATGCCGAGTACGCTTGTTGTAAATCATCCATCATTAGATAACAGTGCCCTAAAATATGTTAGATTTTGAGCGCTCTTCCGTCGCGCGACACTAAAAAATCCACTCACCAAGACTGCCCCATACTTCTCCATTAGCCTGGTCGAACTTGAGGATATTTTGTAGATATTCAACTGCTTTGGCGAATTGTTCTTGCGCGCGAAGGATAGAACTGATGGCATTCATCGCTGGTATAGATCTTGGATTCGTGCGAAGTACATGTTCATATGAGCCCATAGCCTCATCCAAATTGCCTAGGAGCTCTGCTAGACTTCCTATCATGTACATTAGTGATTTGGATCAGGAACAAAAGAAGTGGTTCTTACCGATTTGAAGCCATACTGTCTCATTCGTGGCAGCAAGCTGTTGCATTGGTGTTGGTGCGGGAGCCTGCCAATTTGGCTGCTGTTGAGGCATCCCAGGGGGAGCAGGACCATTATGAGCAGCATGATTCAATTGCATATTCCCTGGGGGTGATGGATGATGCGCCGCCATCAGTGATCATAGCATGCGATCGCAGATTTAGGATATGTCGGATTTTGTGTGCTGGTGATTACGCGCCCAACCGCTTCAATGATAGTGGCTTGGCGAAAGACCTCTTTTCTCGATAGATCCTATCCTCAGGATCAATAACAACAATTATTTTCCAACAAGAATGATATTCTTTATCTTGAAGCCCCTGAGTCAAGGATGTAGAAGTGAATTTGTCGATGTAGATGATGCGACCGAGAGCTTCTTTTTGAAATGAAAACGAGGAGTGTGGCGTGCAAGGCTGATGATAGATGGCAATTCGAACTGTACGAGTTATTTAAGTAAATATATTGCGAAAAGCAATTCGAAGCTATCTAGCTATCAAGAGTAGGATAGTAGGTTAGTCGTAATCTCAATCTAGAACTTTTGTGGACGGATTGATAGGGCTGTTGTCGTTATTGAGAATTGTATTGTTTTCTCCATTTCGCACGTTGAACTTCAGTCGAAAATGAAAGATTCTTCTATATTTGACATGACGAGGGGACAACACTTGGTTTTGAAAAACTTAACCCAGCACTTACTCAAAATGTGGCTTACTAGTGTCTCCACGATTTCTTAGTTCATAATATATTATATTAAGCGGGTCTGAGATGTTTATTGGCGTCCGCTAATAAAGAAGCTAAACTACGAATGGCGCTATATTAGCTATCCGCTCTTAGATCCATTATCAAAGAGATATACCTAGAGAAGCAACAAGCTCAAACACAACCTCGAAACATGTGACCTTGACGACTAAACTATTTTGGATAAGGAATATCGGATAATCTACTAGGTAGATATTCACTACTAACGGAGAATTGAATCAAGTTTCGCAAGTTTATAAAGTTTAAATATTATACGAAAGTTATTCTAAAGACTACTAGTAAAGAAGTATAAAGAAAAAGAAGTCGCTATTTATAATTTATCTTCGATTAAATTTGATAATATAATTTGAATTAGATATTCCGATAGTAAGTTCGAATCAATTTATAGTAAATACTATAAAATAAATATAAAGACTTAAAAGAGTATTATAATAAAGTCTTCGAGATGATTCTATTAGAAGTCTTAGAGATTATCTATTACTAAATCTATATCGGTTATTAATCTAGGTTCAAACCTTAATCGTTAGTCTCAGACCGAGAAAGGTACTATTAGTAATTTATAAGCCGACCCTTCGATCGACTAGCTTAAAAAAAGAGACCCTCTCACTAAAGTCATTATCCACTTAATCAGAAGTGGATATACAAAAAGTCGCTTGGGGAAATATTGTGGGGGGTTGCGTGTGTTCCAAGTGGAGTGCTCGGCTTGGCAGAGGCTTGAAATGGACCAAAGTATAAGAACCCAAGAGGTGTGGGTTCCCACTGGTAAGTGACAAGCTAGTTTCGCCAGTTGAGGATGCGTGGTTACAGTTGCATTCGGAAATGGGGATCGCGAAATGATGATGACAATGCTCACTGCACAGGCGGCTTTGTGTGGTGTCAGGGGGGGGGAGGAAGGGGTGGTCTTTATGATTAGGGGATTATTGTATTTATTGTATTGTATTTGTATTTGTACTGGTTTGTACTGGTAGATTGTTTCTTCAGCGGGTTGGATTAGGTTCGGTTCAGAATTGTTCAATACTTAAGTATCAATTAGTACTTGGTACTTGTTACTTGCATTTGATTGATTTGATTGATTTGATTGATTGATTGATTGATTGATTGATTGATGGATGAGATGGATGGGACGGGTGAGATGGATGAGATGGATGAGGTGGATGGGATGAATGAAATAGATAATGTATAGATGGATGTATAGATGAATAGATGGATAGATAGATTGATATGGATTATAATTAATAAAGAAGGAAGTTCCACAAGCCACCAAGGCAAATGGAATTTGGGACATCTAGGTATTCATCAGCCATCAGCCATCAGCCATATCTTGGTCAAATATTTTGAGGCTGCGAAGGGCTTGATTTGAGAAACAAGAGGAAGGAAGATAGATATCTATCCATTCGTTGATATAGGGATTATGCGGCGGTCTTAACCACAATCCACCATGTCAAGGTCACGGTCATGCATTGATGGTGGTAGATGCGCGCACAGTAGACCGTAAGATATTGTGTATGTATCACAACCTTAATCAAACCTTTCGGAATTAATAAAGCCATTCATTCCAATTCTCATCTAGCAGGCAGATACTACCTAGGTAGTAGGTAGGTAGTAGGTACTCCGTACATTACGATTTACTCGTACATACTACTACTGTATACTGTACTTATCTTATAAAACAAGCGAAAAAGAATGTGCTGTCCAGCCATATATATATTCAATTCAAAGCCAAAGGTTAAAAGTTCATCGTTTGGCAAAGCCAATGAATTATAATGAACTAATAATTCATGCTCACTTCCTCAAACAGTACTACAAAACTCGATATGGGACCAGGATCCTTTTCCACATTAGTGCTACCCTACCACCCTACCTACCACCCACACTTCTTTGTGCATCATTCGCTTGTACAGAAATCTCCCAAGTGTACCTACTAGTAAAATATGCACACAACTATCGAAATCCTGGTTAGGTATCATAAACGATGAACATTCCCTCTCGTGGTTTAGCCTTGTATATTAAAAATAAAATAAATATAATATTCCCTCTCAACAACTTACTTAAAATCCATCGGGGATACAAAGTTCGGTATCCTAGCTCAAATGCTTATGATTCGGTGTTCGGAGATTCGAATATTCATTTTACATCTACTTATATATCTATATCTACATCTACATCTACATCTACATCTACATCTACATCTACATCTACATCTTACATCTGAACAAATCACATCTAAATTCGAACTTCTAACTTCTCATTCAATATCAAACATTTAAAAAGATTTAATTATCCATTTATATATATATCCAACCATCCATCCATCTACTGTATCTCCTAAATAAAGAGTCAAAATCCACCACCACCACCCTGCCACCCACCATAACACAACTCGGATACCCGCTTCAACCTAACCCATCCCCGAAACCTTCAAAAAGCCACCATCATATCACCATATCACACCCCCTATTCCCTATTTCCCCTCCTCGGTCTATTTCGGCTTCATCATCTCAATTAAGCAATTTGACAACAAAAAAATACATCTGACAAGTCGTCAACCGCAGTGCAGCCGTGAGCAGCCTCCAACCGGCATTATTACCTTATTATTCCGGGCGGTACTTTCTACGTAGGTACACGGAGCATCAAATGCTCTTTCGAAATCTTACTTTTCGCTCATATTCGCTTCATATTTTCCGAGTTTTCTGATCATCATCGCATGGGTTGTATTAGGTATATATATATATATACCATTCCCTTTGCTTTGATTAATCCGACTTGGATGAAATCTATTCTAGATTTCATTCCAAGCTTTTGTTACTTCTTCTTCTCCTCCGCATCTGCATTGTATGGGATCTGATATGCAGTAGAAGCTTAATTTCTATTATAATATCCACTCTTGTTTGCCTTGGGAGGAATATATCGGTCTAAGTCTCTTTAATAACTCATCATCTAGTTGGTATGAAAATACTGATAAGTACTTATTTATCTTTCTATTCTTCTATCTATCCATCCATTCATTCATTCATCACATCCATTCAACTCATTCTCCTCCTTTCCGCACCACACACCCCCTCATCAATTATAATCTACAACCTACCTACCTACCTACCACCTACCACCTACCACCTACAACACTTCCCCTGCACAAACCCGATGCATATGCATCTCCTACCGAAGCGCAACCCATCTGCATATCCATCCATTCCATTGCATTGCATACCCAGCCAAGCCAAGCCACAAACATGCTCTACCCTACCTCATGTGCCGCCTCATTCATCACCCTTTTCCTTTCGATTCCTACAGCCTCTCACAAGTATTCCTTATTAATATATCCTCAACAATCCATGAAATGAACATCTTTTAACAACCCTCTGTCATGCTTTCCTATTCATCACTTTCATTCGACTATTCTACTACTACTACAATACTACTATATACCATGTAATGTAATGTCATGTCATGCCATGCCATGCCATGCAAGCACGACCTTCAGTCCTGCATTTTCAATATATCCCCCGCAATCACCAACGATTCAAATCAAATAACCAATGCGATTCTATTCGATCAAACTCAACCAATACTCAAATAAAAAAAAGAACCTTTGTAACATCAAGATACCTACCCCATTTCCCGTTATCCTCCCCCATTTCATCCCCCCTTCCCCTCTTTCACCAATAACCACAAACTACAGTACGTACTCGCACGACGTACAGTAAAAGTAAGTACAGTACAATGATAATTCGCCTCAAATCTATCAAATCTATCAAAAATATAAAATCGGATCTTAATCATCACATGCCACTCGGCCCCCAATCCATCACTCTACGTGGCTTTTCTCATCACATCACACGCATAAGGTATTCCCGTCGTTTCTCAGCCACAAATGCCATTCATGCCACGCCCAAAATATAACGGAGAGTGGCGGATGTGGCTGGCACTTCTTACAATAGCATGCATCAGTCTAGCCCTTGGGCTTCTCTCTTTGTGCTTCTATTCTTCATCATCTATAATTTCTTTTCTGGTCGCTTATCGTGCATGCCTTGTCTACCGCTATTTTCTATCTACACAACCATACCCTTTCCTACTCAGGTCCTTATGCTCCTACAGTATTTCCTTCGCCCCCTACACTTTCACGATCTCCAATTGCGCTAGCTAGTAATCTCACAATCCCCACCATACCACATCACATCACATCATCATCTAAAACCACTCACGTACTACCCAATACCACACCAAACCAAAACCTTCTTTCCCCCATCTCCCCTCTTCCCTCCTCTTCCTCCCCTTCCCCAAGATAAAACAAAAAAAACTAACACTAACATTAACACTAACACTAACACACAACCTAACAAAGTCACAAAGTCACAAAGTCACAAAGTCACAAGTCACAAAGCACAGCAACGAAGCGCAGCGCAAGCACAGAAGATTATGATCATACGATCGGAAATATCGGAACGAATGGTTGGACGTGCCGGTACGCGAAAGGGTACGGGACGGTAAGACCTGTAGGTTTGTGGGTGAGACAATGGCTGCTGCTGGGTGACTGGGCGAGCAAGGGTCTATAATCTTGCGCAGGAGTGGGGGTTGGGTTAGGTGAGTTGAGGTGAGTTGAGAATACATGACACGTGATGGAGGTGGGAAATGGGGGGTGTTGTAGTGTGGTGGTCGGGTATGGTATGAGATGAGAATTTTCTTATGTGCTTGATGGTAATGATGGGCATAATCAAATAGGAGGGAAACAAAGTGATATATCTCACGTGATAATCCTCATGTTACATCCATCCATAGCAACTCCCGTAATCAGATCACCACCCCCATGTTTCAGCTCTCGCCACCACCCCACCTCGAGCTAATTGACTTTGACCTCATACCCAGCCTTACCAGAAGCGTCCCTTTCCGACCAACCAACCGGTTATTCAACTCTATCTATTGCATTTATTAACCCCCAGCCTCCTTGCTTCTCATCACACCTCTTCTCTTCTCCTTTACATATAGTCTCGGCCTTACAAGCGGAACGAAAGTAAAGTATGACTTTTAATGTATTTATATCGCGCTTCCGGCGACAGAGTGTGTTTCTGTCCTTTTAGAGAGGTTTCTTGTCAGGTGCGAGGTCTATGATACGGTCTTGATTGTCTGCTCTCGTGTGTGTGAAGAAGTAGTCGTTTCTCAATAGATGAAAAGACTACCTAGTACTTACTATTGTACTTCTCCAACAACTGATTCTATCCATCCAACAAATCAATCAATCAATCAATCAATCATTCCCTATAGCTAAAATCCCCCAAAAATCTCGAGAAGAGCCAGGTACAGCAGTACAGCACTAGACTTGATCCGGCCCCATATATATCCTATCCGTGCTGATTCCCAAAATAACACAGACAGAGAATCCACATTTATTAACACTACTCGCTACTCGTACACCTCCACTCCCCTCCCCCTTCTTAGATATCCTGTAGTACAAAGTATCTAATCTAGGTATACTCGAGTACTTTCGAGGCTCCAACACCTATACCGGTAACTGGTATTCTATTATCCTTTACTGAGTAATGCATATACTCGAGTATATGTACTGTTATGCAGCTAGCACTACATATACCTACCTCCACCTTCCACTTTCCCCTTTGCCACCCTCCTCCACTTTACCTTTCCCTGCTAAGTTCTCGCCCTTCGTTACAAAGTAAGATATCAATATACTTACTGTACTCGTACCACCAACTGACTTGATTTGACTTCTTCATTTTCACGCTTCAGTCTTACCTTACCTTATCTTACATCACATCACCTCACCTCACCAATATACGAGTACTTCGTATAGCGCCAACAGATAGATACTCAATCGTAGACTAACGCTTACAGTACTTACTTCGAATGAGTAGGTAGGTAGGTAGATAGAGAAAAGGAAAGGGAAAAGAAACAGAAAGAATAGAAACTCCAACTCGTGCTTCCTTTCTTCCTTCCAGACATTTCATCAAGATTATTATTCAATTCATCATCATCATCATCATCACACTACCTACGAGTAGATACCTATTACTCGTATATAATATACTCCCGATGTATACTACCGATATATACTACAGGTAGGTACCTATACTTTGATTTATTTCCAAGGAAAACAGATTGAGCGATTACGAATTGCAATGATGTGACACAAGATCAGATACCGAGTACTCGAGTATAGCGCCGATATATATTATATATATACCGGTAACATCATATACCTACGTACCTACTCATCCATATCCATCTCCATATCCATCTCCACTTCATCTCCATTCCATTCCATTCCATTACAGCAGCAGCAACTAAAATCGCATCTTACCCATTCCCCCTCCCCTCCCTCCCCAACACAGCTCACACATATACAACTACAGTACAATTCTCCCCTCCCTCCCCGAGTCCAGAACTTTAACCTTCAACCTCAACCTTCAACCTCAAATCTCAAATCTTACCTCCCCTCCCCTCCCCTCCCCTCACTCACAGCCAATTTCAATCTCAATTTCAAAATCCCAAATCCCAAATCCCAAATCCCAAATTCCAAATCCAAAATCCCAATCCCCAAATCCCCAAATAATTTTTTTTTAAATTAAATCAAATAAAACAAAATACCCCAAGCATCATTCCCAGTATCATTCCCAGTATCATACCCCCAAGTATCATACATTACATACATTACATACATAAATACATACATAGTATCCCGAGCCAAGGCAAGCCGAGCCGAGCCGACTCACTTCATCTCACTCATCTCAGCCACAACACCCACACACACCACTTCAAACCCCAAACCCCACGTGCCCTCCCCTGCCCGAACCCGAACCGCTTGACTTGTCATATTATTACTCATACATACATACATGCACATAACCCATCCATCATATCGGGAATCTAACGGTTTCGATTTCGGTTTCGGTTTCGGCTTCGTCTTTGTTCGGCTTATATCATCTCATCTCATCCCATTCATCCATCTACAGCTTATATCTACAACCCATTCCATCTACTCGTACATACATCTTACATCCCCATTTCCCCATTTAATCCCCGTACCCATCCCCATCTATATCTTATTTCCTCAACTCCATCGAAACAGCCAACCCAAGTATCCAACTACCCAAATACCCAAATCACAATCATCATAAATTACTAATCACATATCACAAATCATCAATCAAACCCTCATCTCAAATGTATTCCTTTGCATACAATTTTTTTCATATCTTTGCTGCAACGCGCTTTGAAATATCATCGCTGTGCTAGAGATGTATCTTCACATCCTCCATCTCTTCGTGTCCATCTTCCCTCCATCTCCCCCATCTCTTTCCTCCATTATAATCTACAAACAACTACTTCACCCCCCTCCACCCCCCCCCAAATCCAAGTTCTTTGATCCTTCCAGTCCAAAACTATACTATCCTATCATTCCCAACCTCACTCTCGAATCTCAACCTCCCTTGTAACTCGAATCCACCGCCTTAAGAATGCGCCCAACTCCTCAGTTCCTTGACATCTCTCTATCATACACATATATAATCATCAATCGTATCTCGATGCGTCTGTCCGTCCATCAGCTGTCTACTCACTGATGTCAAACAGTCCCGTGTGTATCTGCTGTCCATCCGTCCATGTCGAATGCTGCTTTGCCTTATCTTTCCTTGCAAAATCTGCACTCCACTCCTATTTTTGTTCCCCATATCTTCCATCTCACGATCCACTATAGTAGATACGACGAGATATATGATCTATCAATGACCATTTAGTCTATCCCACTTATCGCGGGTAGCTGTACCTATGGTCTACTCCATCATGCTGTAGAGTAAGTAGTCTTACTCAACATATTTTTCTACCCTCTTTGTTGTCTTCAAATAAATGGAGGAGTATGTCAATAAACCAACTCTTTTGTTTTTCATGAACTCTACCGCGTTCTTATCCCAAGATCAACGACTGAAGTTAATAACTGCCAACTACACAATAATCAGCGACACTCAAGACAACGAAACATGAGATACATACCACGCTATTGCAACCATAAGCCAGCTTTTGACCATGAGCATCCCAACTCAAAACATGTTCATCTTCTTCAGCAACCGAGTCACTCGACTGTGGTGTTTGCCAACCATTTCCAGGTGGTCTAGTCCAACTTGCGCGAGGGATGTAAGTATCCTCTACCTTCCAAATGAGGACTCGATCACTAGTCGCACCAGCGATAAATGCTCCATCTGGAGTAAATGAAAGTGCCAAAACACTAGATGAGCCAATTGTCATTGAGCATTTTTGCTTTGGTTCCGAAGATCGAGCGTTCCAAATGCTAATGGCGCCATCTTCACTAGATGAAGCTAATAATCTTTCACTGGTATCATTCACTGTGTTGGGAGGCTGTAACGGTTGCCATATGAGGGAAGTGATCAATCCGGTATGAGCATTGAATGTTCGAGAATGACCTTGTTCGTCCCAGATCTATACAAAGTCAGTAATGGAGCAAAATCAACAGTGAGAATACATGCATCAATCAAACCGGTTTCACTACCAGTAGCAAGTAACTTTGAAATCCAGTCATAAGTGATTTTCGACAATTGATGATCTTCGCGAGTCTCAAATTGCCTCTCAAAAGTAACGACTCCATCAGTAATGCGAAATGCCGTAAGAACATCACCTCCGCACACGATGAAATCTTCGTCACTCGTCCAAACAGCTTCGAGTGGGTGATCGGCAAGATTATGCTGAGGGATTATGTGTTGTATGGATCGAAAGTCGGTTATCGAAGTGATGGTAAAGACTGCTCCTTTGACATCACTTCCTTCAATCGTCGTCGGAGAAATTGACATGAACAAAGTGTTTGAGAAATTCCATTTCAAGGAAATGATCGGAGCTTCCATTGGAGCAGAGGTATGCAATTGTTGACCTTTATCAGACCAAACAGCGATGGTTGAGCTTCCTTCCAATTGTTCACTAGCAACGAGAATATGAGACCCATCCGATGCCCAGGTAAGGGCATTAACTAATGTCATTGGGGGCGCGAGAGGTTCGAGAAGATGAGTACATGGTGGGAAAGATCCATTTCCATTCATGCCTGAAGTATGAGGGAAAGTATGAGTTCCGTTGGTCTGATCGGCCACCGTACGCGATAGGTCCCACATTCGAGCTAACGCATCAGTACCCGCAGCAGCCAAGATCTTTGGAATTCTTGGATTCCATTCGCAATGTAATAAAATCGTCGACTTTGATGGGTTATCGTCCAATAAATCAAGGTACATTGTTTCCGTGCCAAGTTCTGAGACTTTCTCCATTTGAGTGCCCCGTTCAGGACCATCCGTGGCGATTATTGGTGATGGTAGTTGCTCCGGCGATGGATAAGCGTGACCATCATCGCCATCAATTTCCATGGGTGTTGAAGCTGATTCGTAGTAATTCACATTCCCGTTTCCATTCCCATTCCCATTCCCGTTTCCATTTCCATTTCCATTCGAGATCCCATTTGAATTTACATTTTCATAGCCATTGGTCAGCCGAAGTTTCTTTCCTGGAGGACCATTTGAGTTTGAATTTGAATTCGAATTTGAAGTTGATTCATCTTCAAGTTGGTGTTTTCGGGCAATTTCTGGATCCTCCTCATTATTGCTGGAAGGTTCTTGAGGTGGATCGATGACTGGTACGGTTCTGTTTGCTGTTTCTATGGGACCGAAAACTCCCATAATTGGTAATTCTGGAACATCTTGAGGGACTCCTTGTTGTTGTCGAAATGACTAAAAATAAGAATGTTATTCTGACTTTCCATCAATTTAATTGATTGATTGATTGATTGATTGACTGATTGAAGTAAGGTACTCGAATAAAGTAACTTGTAATGAAGTGAAGTGAAGTGAAGATATATTTATAATAGAACATACCCTTGTAACTTCTCTGGTATATGCATCATAAAGTAGACCTTTGTTCAAAACCGTGACTAGTGCATATCTTCCGACATTGCACGCAAATGGCAGTTCTTGTGGTGGTTGTTTGATGTCCCACTCTTTTTGAAGGTGACAAGCCGTGTCTCTGTAACCTGAATAGAAAGAAAGAATTTGATCAGTTCATTGATTCGCCATACAATACCCATTAAATACCGATCGTTACATCAGGTTCGATACCCGAGATAAACTTTAGTAAAATAAAATAAAAATAGAATAAAATGGAAATAAATCAAAAGAGGTTTGATTATATCCTCATCTCGAACCCCCCCCTTCACCCCCTCCCACCCCCTGTGTACTGTACATACCTGACTCTATAAGATGTCTGTAATGCAGTACAAACAATTGCCGTTAGCGAATGTAATCTCAAAACCATTACCGTACCTAAACAAGAAGAAGAAAACCGAATGAATGGATCACGAGGAAACACGTACTTCCAGATCAAATAGTTCACCTTGTCGGAGGTTAAAGTTTCCTTCGTCATTGCTGATTCGTATTCGAGGAAGGCCAGACGTGGTCGATAATTCTTCGATTCGATATTTGATGATTTAAAATCTCTGATTCGTGATTGTGTAGCTTAAAGAATCAATGTACCGACGGGTTGTGAATCTGAGTAAAGCGGCTTGGGGTTATGGTTATGATGGTATCTGTTGTATAGGGATACTGGAACAAATCGTGTCGTGGTATATTATGTATTGGGCTCGATGTTGTGTTGTAAGGACGGTGATTGTTGATTGTTGATTGTTGGTTGTTTAATGTGGTAACAGTAACAGTGACAGTGACAGTGACAGTGACAGTGACAGTGATGGTGATGGTGATGGATGTTGTTGATGTGGTGTATTGAGAGTATGTTGTTGTAGTAATTATGTTTTTTTTTGCGGGCTGTGTTGAATTCGAGATTGAGGAATGGAAGAAAAGAGACTTGTTCGTTGCAGCCAGAAGCTAGGGAGCCAGCCACAGACGGACGATAGTTGACCATGGACGAAAGTAGATAAGTGCGGGATTGGCTATAAAGTGGAGTAGCGGCTACCCTTCCCAAATAATTAAATATACAAAAATATACCAAAGAATTAAATCAGGGAAGATGAATTCATTGGATGAAATGAAAGTGATGAAGTTTGCAACAGAGGTGGAGGGTGTGTTGATCAATTTTTACTAAAAGGATACTAATACCAAAACAGGACTAGTTATATTTCATCTTAGAGGTAAAATTGTGTATCGAGACTCGAGCGATCATGTAACTTCGATGAATGACTGTTCCGGGTATATGTATATGAAGCCTTCACACATATGAGTACTACCAGTAAGGTGAGATAAGGTCAAGTTCTATATGTATCTCTTATCGAGAGAAGAATTATCTGTTGAGGTTTAATTCCATCTGTTGTAACAGCGTGGGTTGTTATTACTGTATAAAGGGTAAAAACTAATAAAGTGGAGGTGGTAACAAGAAGCGGTGGCATGGGATGTATTATTATCATTTAGCGCATGACAAGCAGCAAAACACCAACGAAAGCTATGGTATGAGAAGTCAAGGAACATTTTCCATCCATCCATCCATTCATCAATTCCATTTCCATATCCATATCCACATCCACATTCATATCCATTTGGATCCAAGACTTTAAAGGAAAAGCCATTAACCATGTCCAACTTTTGATAAAGGACTCGTATTATGGCTATAATAATTACTAGGGGTCGCACACGGGGATTCAAGGGGGGAGGCCGGTCAGGAAAAATTAAAGCAAGCCAAAAACAGAAGTGACAAGGTAGTGTACCGTAGTACATACAGTACACAGAATTAAATGTGATCGTCTGCCCTATCGAGAATCGAGATGTGTGTGATGGGCTCAAACCCGGTTAGAATTGAAGGATTATTAATAAACAAATGGGGAAAAGAGAAGAAGAACCCCTTCAAATCCTCAGCTTCTTTGTTAAATTATTATCATAGTTGTTACAGTATCCCGGAATTGTGGAAAGACTTGATGGGATGGATGGATAAAAATGATTGATTATTGCCACGAGGGTTTGGTTGGTTGATATGAAATTTCTCTACTTTGATAATGGGGTTCACTACTTGGCTTTTGACTAATTCAAACTCTTTGACTTGTAACGGGATATTCCTCGAGTCAAACTGTTTACTAGAACTAAAGGAGTTGTCTCCTCAACTGGATCCATTCAAGGCTTATATATTGGCTGAACATGGGCTGAACATGGGCTGAACATGGGCTGAATATGCTCATGGCTCTCTCGCATACATGCCGATTCTCAAACTTCCTAAGATGCATCAATTGATAGGCGAACTGGATTTAAAGGGCCTAGTAGTGTACAACGGTGAATGCTTGCTTGCTTGTCTTCAAGAAAGATTGTGGATGGCCTGGCCTACACGTTTCAAGGGTACTTTGAGGTTAAAGAGTTGTTGTGTGACAGGAGAAATGCCAGTCGATAAACAATTTTTAGATATACCCGGAAATACTACCATGTCATTGTTAACAAAGAAGAGCTCGGATGAAATATAGGTATTTAGATGATTATAGGTACTTAGCTTGTAACAAAAGAATATCTACGGTATTACAATAATAAGTACAGTACTATATATAGTACAACCTTTACACTGGCTTGGGGATAAGATAGGTATCACCACTTCACCACTTTGAAGGCTTTTCTCCATCCATTATTGTCGACTAGCTTAAGGAATGGAAGTACAAAACGAACCAGCAAACCAGACACAACGAACCAGATACCGGTAACTTCTGTACACTACACTACAGCAGTAGACTAACAATTACCTGGGGCTTATCCAAATCCTGATGCCTAGGCATGATAATGATGCACAGCAGTACGAGTACAGTAGTTCCATTCATGCCCGGGGTTCATCAAATGTTACCTTAGCTGCCGTTTTCAGAAGGTTTACTCGCTGTTTTACTAGTTGTTGAACACCAACGTTTGAGCACGTGCCAATATCGGTCAAATGTTTGAGCGATACCGCTTTTATGAATAATCTGTATAACCAACCAACCTTAACAACCCTCAATCTTCTTCTATACTATCCAATCTTTTTTATTACATATTTTTTAGAATCCAAAACTTTATACTCTCATCTCATGGCTCCAACAACCCCCATACCTCGAAGCTCAACCCAAAAACTCCAAAGCCTCCACACTCGTATGGAACATCGTCGACCTAAACCGAAAACCGAAAAACAAGCTCTCATCCGAATACTATCATAGCCTCATCGAGTGTCACGATAACTCAAAGATTTCTATCAATCAACAATATGCCAATGCTACAACAGATAATATTCAATTGATCCGAAGCAAGTTTACAAAGTAAGGGTTGAGAATGATAATACCAATACAACACTATACTCGCTCTGTATTAGGTTCTGCAATGAAAAGCTTCAACAAAACTGGCGATTCACGATTCGCAATTGCTCGCTCAGGATAACATTGGCATTTCTTCGTTATATTCACCAGGAAGATCGAGTGACAAAAAGGGGTGCTATGCAACAATATATTGTGCAATTTAAAATGTTATACAATAGGGCGAGCGGCTGTCAAATGGATACTAATGATGGGAAAGAGGCTTTGAAAGTATGTCACTCTTTGATTCGCTAGCTTAATTTAAGATTGCTAATTGATATATAGTATATCGACACCTTTGGACTGGACAACACAGTTAAGTCGAAGCCTGTTTTAGGAGTTGGACGATCTTCTGCTTCTACTTCATTATCACTGGGCTCGTGATACTTCTGTTTTCCCTACAGAACGGCATCGTATACAATTCGCATTGATCCTACTCATTCTCTTTGCCACAGGGTTGTCGGCCAGCGGAGCTAGTCGATGCTCAGAAGAAACGAAAAAATACTGCTGCTGATGATATATTTGAAGGCGATGACAGCAACGATGACTTTACAATGGACCTGAGCAGCAAGTCTGTTAACGAAAGCTGTAACAACGGGGAAGTTTGGCAGTTTGATCTGTTTCAAGAGAATGCAACAGAGGCTGTTCGTGATCAGGTTATGAGACGCAAAGCAAACTCAGCTGTATTCAATGGGGCTTACATTAATGAGCGGATACGATTTGACGTTCAATCTGCTGTCCTTGAGCGTTCCTCTGCAGATGGAGTGCTGCGTATGCTGACTCATATGAGCCACATGCGCGATCCTCGTGCCCCGATCAATGTGCCCAATGATGTACTTGCCGCACTTCCACCAGATCCATATATTACTGCTTTGGAGCAGGAACGGCATAAGCTAAAAGGCGCATCCTACAGAATTGAGGGAACAGAGATCAAAAAAGAAGTCCGTCGCCTAAGCAATGCAATCGCAACCGCTAAGAGCAGACGTCGCAATGTTATCTCCGAAGAGTATAGGGCTGATTACTTTCGCTGTCGTCCTACCGAAGATATTGAAAAACAGAACAATGGACACAAGGAGGAGGAGTATGTCGAGTTTATAGTTGAGTATCAAATAACCGAGAGAAAACAATTGGCTGAGCTTCTATGCACACTTCTCGGGAGTACTGATCCACAGGATTCTGTTGCACGGCGTCTCCGGGCTGCGAATCTCATGTTGAAATTATGGGTTACCGCGAGAAACCTCAACGTTACTGGCTTCAATACTGCCTGTCCAACCAATTTTCGAGAAGGATTTGTCTGAAGTTGACCTGTTTTTCCTCCTTGTTTGTCACAAAAGCCAATGTCCTTTTTGCGTTGGAGATAAATCAAGAGGCTACGAGCAGCGTATGGGGTCTTTCTGTCGCCCTGCAAATACGATGGATTATGTTGAACGGGTCCATCTCAAAGGACAGGATCCAAGGGCCAGGGTGAAATGTCATCATCCCATTTGCAAATCTCAGGGGCTCGTTCTCACGCATTTGGATCATTTCAAAAGTCATGTGCAATCTGTTCGTGAAATCAGTCTCCGAGCGTAGACGGTGTTGATGCCAAGCGGCTTTCTCGTTGGCCATATGACTCGCATATTTTTTCTTCTAGTTAGATTATTAATTTTACTGGGATAAGCCAATAGTCACCCAAGTTTTCTTTGCGTCATCACAACACCCCCTTGAAGCTGATGTGACCAGTAGTCTTGCGAGTTTATGCTATTGTTAGTAGCGGCTTAAGCTTCAGAATTCTGTAAATTGGCAGACAATTCCCTCTATTTAATTTTTCTTTCAAACATATTCATCTTTTTCTTTCCAATCTTTAGTAATCATCAACTTATTATGTTTTCGGCAAGAGGTTCCTATCGTTCGAGATCACCAAGGCTCGGCAGGTCAAGCAAAAGACCATCTCCTCCAGATGGTTCTCAAGATGTGTGAGCATCCAATATCTACTTGTATCAATATATGATTTTTTGAGTAGATTATCCTTTTCTCATCGACGATGATAATTCCTCAAAATACCAGCGGATGCGACCGCGAAAGAAGCAGCGAATAAATCAGCAAGGTGCTTGTGAATCAAGTCAACTTGCCTTGGGAAAAGTTCTTCGAGGTCAATCGGCTTTTGAGCTCCAGCCAAAGAATCACAGTAATTGGTGGGACTGGTGTTTCAGTACAGGCTGTAAGTTTTGATCACCTTTCTTGTTTGATACATAATATTGAGTTTTTCAGTTCCTGCTTTCGAAGAAATGCGAAAAATACAAACAGACTTTTCAAATCCCTATACTCCTCTCCAAGCGAAACAGCTTCGTTCCATTCGACAATCCATAGTATGTTCGAAAGGCCACAATCAGTTCAATGCCAATCAACGCCATTCCATCGACTTATGGACAAATTAGCAAACGAGAATCGTCTCCTTCGTCACATCACACAGAATATAGACTGCTTGGAACACAAATCTCCTGATCTCGACTCAAAGACCTTACGACTCCATGGTCAAATCGACCAAGTGAGATGCGGTATATGCCAAAGGATTTCCCCATTCCAGCCCCATTTGTTCGTCGGAGCCAATCTACCCAGCTGTCCCCGGTGCACTCAAAAAAGCCAAGCGAGGGTTGGGAAAGGGCGGCGACCACTTCCTATTGGTAAATTGAAGCCAAACTTGCTTTTGTATGGAGACCCAAATTCAAACTCAGATGATATGCCCTTGAAATTATTAATCAAGACCTAGCGACATGTCCGGACTTAGTGTTGTTGATTGTTGGAACAAAGTTGAAAGTTTCTGGGGCTCGGGAAATTGCCACCAAGATGTGTGTGCTGTTTGGATTGGGCATGGATAAACCACCACCAAAATTCCATTTCGATATTGTTATTGCTGGGAATTGTCAAAAAATCTGATGATTAGATATTATTTCTTTATTCAAAGTATATTTTGATCAAATGTTACCTTCCTTTATATCAGTGAGTGACAATATATATATATATTACATTACAAGAAGATATTACTGATATGAGAATTTGAAAGTGCTTCTTTAAACATTCAATCCCTATCTAATTACTAAAACCAATGAAAAAGAATAGAATAAAAAGATAAAGGTTGGTTCTAATGTTCATTCTGAATAATACCTTAATTTTTAAAATAGGTCAACTTGACAATTTAAATCCGACATAAAGTTGAAGTGTAACTGCCGGATATGAAAATTGGCTGATGAGGTTCTGTTCTGTTCTTGGCCTAATGAGGAACGGAAGCTTTGACCCCTATGTAGCTGTATTTACTGGTAGAATATCAAAAGGATATAACACACGCGCTTAAATTTCCGGTTACCTATCGTTCTATTGGTTTAAATACATCAAAAACACTTGTGGTTACGCAGACACAAAACTATAAGATAATGTTATGATGTCTTAATCATAAATGTAGCCTTGTGATTTCATTAGATTCATTCCCACATCCTAGAGCTGAAAATAATTGCTCGGCTACGTACTTATACGGAAAGCTTTTAATAACATAGTATGCGCTGTTTCCCTTATATCTTATGTATCAACAATCGTTCATCTTTCTACAAGCTATCATTATGAAGCAGGTATTTTTTCTCGAAGGGTTTCAATGGTCCGAAATTGATGCACATCATGACGATGAAATTATCAAATTTCAGATACGCTGTTTCGGTGCTAGCTTCGAGATTCAATATAAATTTCATAATCTATCTCCTTCACCAAATCTCTTAGAACAGTTTCGTAGCTCTCTTGCTATTATGAGAGCATACGAGACTGGAGATAATCTAGATGCCGAAAGAGCTTCCGAAGAGATTCTTTGCCTTAAGAAACCATTCGAGAAGATTATGATTGAACTGGCTCCAACAAGCTCACCATCTTTATCTCATCATTTATCCGATTATCTCTATTCACCTCTTCTTATGCTTGAAGCCATAGCAACAACCCGAGATAGCATTATCATTGAACCACATTTCAAAGGGCAATTGCCACGACAAATAAGATTTCCTGCAGGTCAATATATACCTACGTCAGCGGATTGGCTGGATTTAGTGAAATCCTCGACTTCACAACAAATACGGCTTCCAATATCATCAAATCTGGAACAGCATCCGTGTGTCCGAGGTCCAACTAAGGTTATTGCTGAGGATGGGGCAATTTGTTACTACAAGGAATTGCCCCAGTGGTTATCACCTCTATCGACAGTAACAGAGGCAAAACCATGGATACATACACAGATTCCAGCTGCCATCGAAGCAAAGAAGCTTCACTCCGATATACACATCTGTCGCTTGCATAGTGTGATTATTGATGATGATCGTAAAGTCTTGCAGCACTGGGTTCGTGCTACAGAAAAGGATCTAATTGATATTTGGGAAAACGATGGCTCAGATGATTGGACACTCTAGGAATATGCCGATTTGAGCTTTGATATGAAACGTTAAGTTGGAATATTAATTCATTATATTGAAAACAAGGGTACACTTGAGGAGATAGCGCCTTGGTCTGACTGTCCATATGATCGGCGCCGATGGGCTACTGAGCTTGAAGACCTTGTGGGACAGTTACATGCTGCAGGCCTTGTATGGGGTGATGCTAAGCTAAGCAACATATTGGTTGATCAGGATGATAAGTTGTGGCTTATTGATCTAGAGGGTGGTTATACTTTAGGTTGGGTTGATGAGGCTAATAAAAATAGCCAAAAGGGGAATTTGCAGGGGGTCGAAAGGATTAAGGAATGGTTAGTCAAATGGGGTGAGAAGCCTGTTGATCGTATTCTTTCACAAAATTCAAGATAGGCTGTGAAATATTTTTTCATTTTTTAGAGCAAAGGAGACCCGAGAAGTAATTCGAAGAGGAGTTTACAAATAAAGTGGGCATTCGTTCCTAAGTGATGCTGCTTGATCCCCAATCACAATAGGTATTAGGTTGACCAATACAGAAAGAAGAGTATTCCGAAATACAACTAAATATTACCAACTCCTGTCCCATAAACCAACTCACTTCACCTTAATTGCGAAATGAACATTCATAATATATAGCGTGGAGGTTGTGTAAGGATGGATAGAAGGAGCTTGAGAATGAAATGACCAACAAGACTTCGAAGTAGTACGAGTACAAGATGCATGTGAGAATCGAAGATACATTACTCAATACTTTGTTCTTATATCAACCTTTCATCTGCCAACTCGATCTTTCATTTCCTATTGTTCAGATCACATATATTTATATACATATTCGTCATTCTTCGATTTCCCTCAGAAATGAACTTCATTGTGACGAATATATGATTCTATCTTCAGCAGTGATATTCCGACAAGAGAGTTAAGATAACCTCCTGATTGATGAGTGATGCGAATCTTAACAAGAATAATTCTGAGATGTGCTACCCTCTTCTGATGTAGGAAGTGCCTGCTGTGAATAAACTTCGTAGTAGTTGTTGCGTTGTAGTCCATTCCTACACCGGGAGAGATTCAGCCTTATTAATGAGGCTTGAGTCGCTTGACATTTTGCTTCACAAGGTCCCAAAAAGATTGAAGATGGTCCGTGCTTAGAACCCTTGCTAAATTTGATGACAACTACTACCGGTAGGTAAGTAGTGATTATTTGTATGAGGGGAAAGCTTGATGAAAATAAGATATACCTCAACCTATACCGGATTTCCTACCAAGTCTACCAAGTAGTAGGAAGGACTCAATACTCCTTCTACGGTATTCCTACATATTCATAATCATGCCACCAAGATTGAATATTCCTCCGGTGACGAAAATACTACTCATCGCATTAACATCGCTGTCCATTTTAAGTGCAGCAATTCGATATAGACAATGGAACCAAGAAACTGCCGCAGATCTTCATATAGTAGTTCCATACCTGTCGCTCGTACCTCAACTATCCTTCATATATCCTTGGACTCTCCTGACAACTACATTGGTGGAGAATAATGTCTTTACGTTGGGCATAGCTGGGTTGACTTTATTCTATGGAGGAAGATATTTGGAACGAGCATGGACATCTGCGGAATTTGCAAAGTTCATTGTAGTCGCATCTCTTGTTCCTAATCTTCTTACATTTGGGACCTTGGTTCTTTGCTTTGCTGTGACTGGTGATATGAGCTGGACGTGAGTTATTCATCTTCTCCCTTCTCTCTCCTGAAGCTTGCCCACCAATCTGTGCAATCTACTAACACTTACTAAAAGTCTCAGCTCGATCAATGGAACTATCCCTCTCCAAATATCCTTCTTAATCGCCTTCTCCCAACTCGTACCTACGCATACTGTCACCCTCTTCAAAGGCATCATTTCCCTCCGCGTGCCCCGCTTTCCCTCCCTCCACCTTCTCACTATCCTCACCCTCTCCTTTTTTCAACTCCTAAGTATCGCCTCCGTCTTCCTCGTCTCATGGGCCTTCCTCACCTCCTGGACTTACCTCCGTTTTTACAAATCCGCCTTTCCCGATCTCGACTCCCACCAAACTCCCACTCTCCGCGGTGACGCCAGCGAAACCTTTGCATTCGCCGAATTCTTCCCCGGCCCTCTCAAACCCCTCGTCGTTTCACTCTCAGATGCGATCTTCAATACTTTAGTAGCCATCAAAATATGCACCCCATTCTCCGCAGCGGATGTTTCGGCTAGCAGAGGCGAATCCTCATTTATACAACAAAGAAGTACACCCGGTGGAGCGAGAGCAGAAGCAGAAAGAAGGAGAGCATTAGCGCTCAAAGCGCTAGATCAGAGATTACACGCCGCGACGGCTAAAAGTGTTCCACCGCCTGCGCCTACGGGTCCAGCGGTAGCGACTCAACCGCAACCAGGCACACAAACGGCAATGACGAGTCAAGCGAGTGGAATGTTGGGGGAGACGAATTATGTGCCAGAGGGGCATGGAGATGAGGGGGTAAAGGGGTCATGATCATGATTGTGATTGTGATGGTTCAGAATGTGATGACATGGAATGATATGAGATTATTGGGCGATAATGATATGGAAATGATTTTTCGACACCTCCAATTTGATTTTGCGTGGATGAAAGAAAGGTGGATAGGACGGGAGGGGAGGGGAGGGGGAAGGAGGGAGGTCAAGGACACTTACTTGGACGCGTCTGAGCAATAGTAATGGCATTGGTGAGATGGTTTATCGACTTAGATACTTGTTTCTCCTTCCCCTTTCCTCTTTCCCTCTTTCTCGCTACACCAATGCACTCTACTGTACTGAACTGTACTGTATTATACATCTCTCCCTGTCCTATCATTATACCGCGCAAGCGAGTTATTTCTTCAAGATACTCACAATACTACCTGTCTACCTACCTACCTACCTACTCTATTACATAAATACCTATTCCATCCATCCCATTCTCCTCACATGAGAATTGCCTACATACATGCAATCCAACCAGAACCCAGAATATGCGAAATTCATACTCGTATACATGAAATATGAAACTCGAAGCCCCAAACATCAAATCAAATATCATCTAACTTCTAACTTCTAACTTCTATTCCTAAGCGATACTTGAGTAAACAATACAGTAACTCAAGCTTCTCTTTGATTTATTTTATTTGGTTTACGATACGAGTGAGTGAATACCTAGTAGTTCGCTCTCCTTGAGTAAGTAATAAGTTATTTGAAATTTCATATTCAATAGCTTGTTTTGCACTGGTTTTGCACTGGTTTTCTGAATTTTTTTCCCTACGAAAATAGATAGGAAAATAGTAAGTAAGATCTTATGTATTTGAGTTTTTATTTGAGTTTGGATGTATGTAGACGTGTACCTAAGTATGTATATGCATATATTCTCTGGCTACGATACTACTATGTTATTGGTGTGAGTATGAGTTATGAGTAGTACTCTAGTTGATTTGATTACGATCTCAATTGGTTTTGTGGGTTTTGGTTTTGAAGTTCTATTATAGTCTCTATCTCTAGTTGTCTGGTTGTCTGGCTCTCTAGTTCTCTAGTTCTCTAGTTCTCCAGTTCTCTGGATTCTGGGGTTGGAATATCATTTCTGGTTTTCTGGTAGAGGTATAAGTAGGTATAATTATTGAAAGCTATGGTAGTTTGCTTTCTTTAATTTTTAATTAATTGGCCTAATTTCTTAGGACTAGCTTTTCTCTATGTTAATGCTTTTTCTTGTTATATATTACACTACTAACACTTTAATCAATTCAATTTCATTCTCAATAAGCCCTGTGGATTCTAGTCTTGAAGTTCTATCTATTCTCTAGTTCTCTAGTTCTCCAATTTTCTGCATTCTGGGGTTGGAATATCATTTCTGGTTTTCTGATATAGGTATAGGTATAGTTATTCTAGGTTATTGTAGTTTGCTTTCTTTAACTAGTTGGCCTAGTTTCCTCGAGCTAGTTTTCCTTATGCTTTTTTTTATACTACTAATACTCTAACTAATTCAACTCCAACTCCAGCTATTTCCCCGGGCCTTGGTCTTTTCTTACTATCTCTATCTCTATCTCCTAGCACTAGCACTGGCACTAGCACTAGCATTTAAATGAAAGCTAAAAAAAAATCCCATTTTTATAATATATCACTAGTAATATAAAACACTAGATTCATTTTGGAGATATATCATTACTAGCACTTGTCTTTTTTTTATCTCATCTCATCTCATCTTTTATATCTCACATTATCTAGAGTACTCGAGCATACTCTACAACGAAATTCCAACTCCAACTCTAATTCCCTAACCTGTCTCTGTTTCTGTTTCGATAGTTAGGACTATATTCATTCATTCTTGTATATATCATATTATGATTTCAAAAGTACTCATAACTTGAAGTCTTGAAGTCTTGGATGGTATTACAGGATTCGAGTCACTGCTTGTAGTATATGTATGTATGTATGTATGTATGTATGTATGTATAATGAAATTAGTTGTTCTGTTGTTGGTTTGGTATGAGTAGGTGATGTAATTGAAGTTTGTGGTCCGGGATGAAGAGGTGAAGAGATGAAGAGATGAAGAGATGAAGTAAGCGAATATAAGCAGTATAGTAATGTAAAGTTATGGTGGGTTAATTCAGATGCTAGTGCAGTGGGTGGAGTACATTACTTTTTGTATCTTTTGTATTGGAGTTGTGGGATGGGGATGGGGATATTGAATATTCGTATTGAGTGCAAATTGTTGGTTATTAGTATAATATTTTTAGGATGTTCTGGTTGTGGATGTGGATGTTGTGTATTATTAGCTATGTATTAGTGATGGGAGTAGAGGTGGATGAAGGGGTGAATAGAGAGAGGGATGGATACAGAGATGAGTGTAGAGGATTAGACGTGGGAGAGTAAAGAAAGAAAGGAAAGAAGGAAAGGAAGGAATGAAGTGAAGAAATAGACGGATGGATAGTGAATAACATAGACATTGAAGGGTTTAGCTTTAGATGAGTGGACGGATGGATGAAGAGTGGATGGAGCGGAGCGGAGGCTAGTATGTGGGAGGCTGAGGGGTTAAGCGAATGAAGTATAGAGTTATTAGAGGTTTTAGTTAATGAAAGAAATGAATAAGGTAGATGGTTAAAAAAAAGTGAATGAAAGAAGTGAATAAGGTAGATAGACGAAAGAAGTTAATGAAGGAAGTGATACAGTAAATAAATAAAGAACCTACTCCACTCCAGCCTTGAGTGAATTCCTCTACCATCAGTCTCAAAAAAATCTCGGAGCCAGTACTATTCATATGCGTTTGTTCGTATATTCACTAAGATGCATTCAGGTACTTGTATATCAACGAAAAATATTTGACAAGTACATCTATGAAGGAGACACTCTAAACTAATCTACAATTCATTGTATATCCGTATCCCGGGCTTCTCTGATACCTAATATGAACCCAGTGTCTTATTACTATAGTATAGGAGCCATCGCATACCTACTCAGCTATCCTATCCTATACCATATCATACATATATTGTTATACTATAACCATACAACTGCATACACACACGCAACCAAACCCCGCACTATCCTGCCTCTCACTACCAGCAGCGAAATCCGAACCCAGAACTCAGATAACAACATATTACATGAATACCACCAAAACTCCACCCCAGAGACACACCAAACTCCACATCCAACCAGTATATATACTCAAACATAGAACTCCATTCTCCTCCTAGTATACCCCACTCATACTGCAACATCTCGCATCTCACACCCTTCCTTACCTACCTACTTCAAATTTCAAAATAACATAATAGCATAATAAAAGCACTTTTCCGACCCAAATCAAAACATCCAAATCAAATCAGATCAAATCAAATCCAAACCATCCACCAAAAAAAAGGAACAGTCACCAACCACCGCACCTACAGAACAGAACAGAAAAGAATATTCTAAGTATAGTTTGCTTCCTTGCTTTAGCGATTAGGATTTAGGAACTTAGGAAGATGCTGTATTTATAGTGTACTACCATACCAAGATGTACTACCATAACATTAATCGTACATACCACACCTACTATATGAAGCGACGAAGCGACGAAAGCACTACAGTAGGAGGAATAAATCGAGATGCGTTGATTGCTACTCGTAGAAGTGGAGAGATATAGAGAGCATTTGGGAGAATTTGAAAAAGGTAAGGGTTGAGAGAAATGTTATATGGTATGTGTAGATGACTAGAAATGAGGTGAAGTGAAGTGTAAAGCAAGGGAATTAGGAAAAGTAAGGTGAGGTGTATGGAATCATCCTATATCCTATCCTACATCCAATATCCTATATTCCATAGATCAAAAACTCATAATCCAGAATCCGGAAGCCACAGCAAACCGATATATATATCCTCGAGTAATGAGAATAGATACATAGAACGACATACTCAACAGCAAAACCACTATGAATAGAGAGATAGATACTCGAAACCAATCTAATATAATCCAATCCGTATATGTATATGCTAAGCCCAATAAACGAATATGTCGTGTATTCATCCAGTCCATTAAGTCCGACAAGTTCAGTCCGACAATATAATGGAAACACACTTGAACGTCTTTACTACAAATGGATTGGGATGTAAATGAGTGTAGAAGTCAAAATCCAATGAAAAAATCTGCTATTACTAATGGAGTACTATGTAACGAACACAGGAATTATGATGAGAATGTATTCATTTGTGTAGTACCTAGTATCTTGTCTAGTACCTTGTATCTTCTCTAGAGAAAGGATGTAATATCCTTAAGAACTCGAACTCGAACTCGGACTAAAACTTCGGGAAAAACATTTCCAAAGAAATATTTCAAAAACTGGGTATAGATACAATAACGACAAGCTTTCAGATAAGCTTTCTAACAAAAAGAATCATGATTAGGAGAACTCCCCCCATATATCGCTCCGCTAAGATCATCCGCAAGAATATACAGACCGAGATCCATGGCCACCTACTTGACCAATGTCAGCCAACCTAGCTGTATGCAGTCTTCAGTCTACCATATCGCCACCTAAATCAGCTTTTCAGAGCTGACTTTCCTGCTTCCAACACTGCCACCATCCTCACTCATCCCCTCCAGCTTCAGACTCGTTCCTTTACTGCTCCTAGCCCCTGTCATACTTATTCCCGTACCTTTTCTCTCGCTCAATGCTTTCGACCACCTCTTCTGACTATTTCCGCCCTCGACTATCTCGTCAAAACCAAGGATTTCTCTGATCTCTGGAATTTCCGCATGGTCCCTAGTATTCTTCATCCTATGACACCACGTCACCCTCTTCTCCTCATACCCTTCATTTTCCCCTAGCTTATCACCGTTGCCCAAAATCCCACCGCTCACATGCATACCTTCGGGAGGTCCATCCGCAGGCGAGGTAATCGGGGTTTCCATCCGTACCGGCTCGAAGAGGAATTCTCCGCCAACTTGTTGGTAATCACCTCCCTGGAACAATTTGCCGCCTTTGATCTGCTTGAGACTTTGTACCACGCTCTGCGCCATTCCCAACAAAGTTCCTCTTCGCTGATATTCTGGTCTGGTACCGAGATTCAACGTGCGCATCATTTCTAGCTCGTCGTATAGCTTTTTCGTAGGGTCTGCATATATTGGAAAGGGGCAGTTTGTGGCTTCTTGGTACATGGGAATGAGAGATGGGCTTCCGCACCCAACGACTGCGATGAAGGTAGGAGTATGGAGTTGGAGGAGCGAATCTTCGGTGATGGACGCCGCGAGCGTTCTAAGGTATTCTTGGCAGTTCTAGTAGAGAGCGCAAATGTTAGATTCGTATTTAAACTACCTATCCAGCTATCCATTTAGGGAGAGAGCTTACCCCGCAGAAGAAGTGACGAATGAAAATGATCAAGACTCGTCTTGCTACGTTCGGGCCTGAATATAAACTTTTGAAGGGTCTGGTTTTTCCATCCTTATCTAATACGATTATACCTTCGACTCTTTTCAACATCGCTTGTGAGGGTAAATCATTGTTTGTATTGATATCGCCAACAAACTCTGCGGATGGATCGACGCTATTGAGGGAGGTATCTATCGAGGTCTTCGGAGGTGTAGCGTTTGGAGACTCCATGATTATGGTACTCGTTGGTGCTTCTATTATCTTCTCGTTCAAACCTTTGTCTGCTTTTGTAGTTGAATTAATGGCTATTCGGTTTACTGTGGGTAAATCGGACAATATAACCATAATTTCTTTCGTTTTGCGTCAGTTCTTCGGTTTTGTCTCGGTGACGTACTGAGTATTCACAATCGTTTATTCTTATCGAGGCTTAGACAAACCGAATTCCAGTTATTATGGGAAGTGAATATTGGTTGGTATACGTATAATTTTCGCAATATCGTATAAATGTATGTTTCCTTCTCGTCAGTTCAATCCTCCTACCCTCCTACGTGTCAGAGTATTTATGCCAGTCTCAGCCAGGTTTCAAGGAGACGGAGGAGACCAGCTTCCTTCTAGTCTTTCGTTGAGCTTCATACTCGCCAGGGTTCCATTGGAGCACAGTGCACACTGCACACTGCACACGACGTAATTGTGGATGAAACATAAAAGAAAGCTTGTAGCTATCCCTCCTGGCGCCAGCGAATAATAGGGTTATCATATCAAAAAGTTAAGAGAAAAGACTGGATCTGGATCTGGATCTGCTGGACGTGGACATGGACGTGGACGTGCCCATCGATGCAATGTTTTAATGTGCGTATTTAGCCATTTAGCGATGGCAGTGAAACTACGGAAACTAGGTACGAAATACCGGTACAAGGTCCTGTTCTTCGTATGTGTAAAAGCATCTTCAATCGACGAATAGGATGAAGCAGAGAAGTAGAAACATACCGGTTATGTTCGTAAGATTTTACTTACTTGTGGAACCCCGGTGAGTAGTACCATCGAATATCGAATAGGTATACATGGATGAAATGGTCCGACCGGTGGGCTTTCACAGTATCAATACATTAATCTACCGAGTATAGCAGTCTTAGCTATTTGGATTTCATACGTAATCGCCTATGATTATATGAAGTATATCTGTCTCTCTTAAGTCTCTTCAACTATGGAAAACATCTCCTTTCCTAAAGGGAAAACGTGTGAAAAGTCTCACATTGATTTGTTGAAGAACCAAGATGAGGGGTGCAACTTGCAAGGGGGATTCCTCATCAAGTGGCCATCAATCCTTATCACATTTCTTCCCCAATTGGTTGTACCTGCATTTATTGAAAATATCCCGATGAGTAGTGGCTATGCTTCCAGCTGTGTAATAACCATGTATTATGCATCTGCTGCCTAATATTGATTTAGTTATCAATTGAAAGCTCTAAATGTGTTGCAATCCTCCTTTTCTTGGTAAATCGTTAATCTGGGCCACTTCTTGGGCCATTTACCTTCAAACCATCAGAGAATATGTCCGACAGTCCACTTTCAATCGCTGCTAGTATTACAGGATTGCTTACATTCTTTGCAGCTGTAGTTGCTGCTTTCTATGCACATGCTCTCGGTCTTCGCGATGCCATTGATACACAAGCTGAAGTATCTAGTGCATTGGACAAAATTTACCTTCTCGAAACCGAGACTGATATGCTGAACAATGCATATCTCGCTTCGCGCATTCGTCAACCAGATCGAAAATACGGTATTGGCGATTTCAAGTATTTCCAAGGACTCTATGTTCAATCTTTAGAACGAATGAGAGTGATGGACAGAGAGTTGAGAGCGAGTGTCGAATTGGTAACCAAAGGTGATGGATATGGTAGGATATCTAGAGTGAAAAGAAAAGCAGCTTGGATGGCGTCAAGAACCCGTATTCAAAAAGATATTGATGAGAGGAAAACTGAGAGCATAAGAATCTTTCAAATACAGCTTGCGATGTTATCAGCGTGAGTTATTAAACCAATTCCTCTTTTTCCTACTCCTGCTCCTACTATTGTTGAGAACTAGCTCAAGGATACTTGCAGGAAAATTGATGAGCTATCTTATCATCAGAACAATCATAACGTTACCTGCAATGTCATGCTGGCTGATGTGAGAGACTTATCAAAGTATGTGTGCATTGTGCTGTTAACGTCCGGCATCAATTTCCCGGTTTCCAAATATAAATATTTGCTAATTTATTCAATAGTGGCATGATGAAAATGCCTCCAACACCCCCATCCCCTACACTTTCTGCTTCATTTCTTGATCGGACATTAACAAAGATAAATAATCATGCAGATATATCAGCCACGCCAAGTCAATACCACACGCCTTTGAAAACGTCTGAATCGGCTCCACTTATCTCACTTCCATTGAGAGTATAAGATTCGGTTTCTGGAACGAAACCGAATGCAAAATGAATTCTTACTAGTACCACGTTCATCAAGTTGAATGTAGCCTGGTTATCGGAAGAGAAACATCCTTCAGCTCTTCCAGGAACACTGTCCCGAAGAGACTATTTTACGCCTCGCCACGCATGCTTTGCGGGGCATATTTATTCCTGTCGTACCAATAATTTCCCGGATTCTCTTATCTCAAATTTCAGCTCCGTAAAAAGGTTCGAATTGGAATATATGAAAGATAGCTCATAATATACGAAGTCGCATATGACCTCAACTTATACTTATCTTCCCCTTGATGTAGTAAATGATGAAGTGCACCATTGTTATCACTAAGGTCGCTGTGGGCAAAGACGGCTTATGATAACTGTTACCAACATTTCAAAGACAAAACGCTGAAGATTGCCCTTTTTATTTGGACACATGAAGTACCCAAAGTGGATATCCTTTGGCAGGAAGGAAACGTACGTATTTGCTTCTCTGAACTCTTTCCTCAGCTTCGCAATTAAACACTAACTTCCAACAGGAAAAAGGATGACATAGCTAGGATCAGTGATCTTAAAGATGGCGGTCAACTTATGCAGAGGCATGGATGCAGGACACTTAACGATTCGATTTCGGAGGAAACTCTATCGTCAATAAACGTCTCATCCCAATGCGTTGTCGATATACCCAAGGATACACCCAAGAATATCGCCATTGAATCCTCACTGGGAATACCAGAGACCAAGACGCCCACAGTACCACCGCGACGAGCAAGCCTCACGAACAAAAGGAAGTCTTGGTATAGCATATCAAGCAAGAAGTCCGAAGGATGCAAATCTAGCGCTATCGACCAGGTCAACCTCTGCGATCAAGTTGGAACTCTTAGGGATGGGAAGATGGCTGCTCTACAACCAATAAAACAAACGCAAAGTGACATGCCTAAGGATCCTTCCAATGATCCCGTCACAATCATCGTCACATCACCAACATCAGATGTTAACCCCCAGCAAGAAGAGTGGAGCCCCTCTTGCAGTAGCGCATTGTCACTCTCACAATCATCACTTTCCAGTATCTCGAGTCTCGCCACAACTCAACTCATGCCCCCCTCAATGACCTCCAGCACACCAAAAGACGCAAAATCCAACGAAGCACCTGAAGTCAAAAAATGGCTCATCGGATGCATGAATCGCAAAGCAGATACCCTTCCCCGAAGACTCATCTCTCGAATGATGGAAATGTATAACATCAAAGAAGATGAGCTTGATCCTAGGATGCTTGATAAGCTTAGAGAAGACATTGAAGATGAAGGGGTAGTGCTTCAAGTCGATGTAGAAGATGAAAAGAAGGATAATAAAAAGGAGGAATTCGATGGCGTGGAAGCTCTACGATGTTTGCGGACTTCCTTTCGCTCCGAAGTTCGAAGTGATGGAAAAGAAAAAATAGAGGGGAAACATCTATCGGGGCATTTCAATGATACGGTAACTACGAAACGAAGCTCGAAAAGCAACAACAATAACACAAATTCGAAAGAACAAAGTCCACCAAAGAAGGTAGTTCCAGGCACAAACCCAAGAGTCTGGCAAAACTCCTCATCTCGCGCTAGACATTGGCCCACTTCCAACATCAACATATCCGACGGATCCTCATTTGCCTTCCCGCCATGCACACATCCGTCCGCGAACTCGAAGCATCGCACCCCCTCCAAGCCGCAGAAGCCATATCGACCTGGTAACAAGAACATCTATTCGACATCTACTTATTCGAAACGAGGAATCTGTCCGCCAAGGAGGGGCTCGACGATTTCTCTGAGCAGTATTCCTGAACATGATGTTAGTGTGGGTTTTGATGTCAAGGGATTGGATGAGGGACTTCGGGGTGCTAAATCTAGGCCGAGGTCTTTGCCCTCGGTTTCGGGGGTGAGGAAGGCGGGGGTGTAGATGTGGTGATGGTAATGGCATCAGCATCATGACTCCAATTGCTGGGCAAAATGGAGAGGGAAAATGAGAAGAGGAGGAAGAAGAAGAAGAGGAAGACGAAGGACACAAAAAATATAATGCGGGGGAAGGAAACTTGTTTAGCTGGAATATACTATATGATTAGGGGTCGGGGCAAATGTCGCTTTTTGTTTTAATGTACAATAGCTTTCCGTTTACTCATACGTACAAATATTTTTGGATATTAAACTAAGTAACATATATTCTCTCATTATCCATCTATCCATCTTATCCATCCTCTCGCCTCTCCATCCCTTCATAATATCCCCATGCCTATTCCCATATCCAAGCACTCCATACAAAACACCCCGTAATATGAAGTCCCTTTCTCTCCCTCCCAGTAACCCTACCTAGGATATAAAACCATGAAAAATATTCATTCATCCCCACCGAGCCCCTTTCCATTCCATCTTTTGCCGTCTCCGTCTCCGTCTCCCAAAATTCTTATTCTCATTTGTTCTTATTTGTCTCCCGGTAAGTCTCCCGGTAAGTTGAGTCTCCATGAAATCCTATAGTATTCCACTTACCTCTCGGTAAGGAGCTAGCCTCCACTCCACTCTAAACTTTTTCTACATGAACATAAAAAGACTCTTCACTCATCCATCCATTTATCCACCTATCTATCTATTGACCTCCGAGAGGTTCAGGTACAGATAATCCCCTCTTAACCTCGCAATATCTCCCCCTCGCAATATCTCATCTACACAACTTAGCTTAGCTCCTCTCCTCTCCCGCCCCTCTCTCTCTTCTCCTCTCTCCTCTCCTCTTTCCTCCCCATAAACTGAGCTGAGCTGACACCGACTCAGCTGAGCTCCCCATGACCATGACATGATATGACATGACCCCTTATAAAAAACAATCCTCATCCTCAATAACCACAACCCTCTTAAACTTCGTCTATCCCAATCTAACCCCTGTATCCCCATCTAGTTCACCCCTTTCCTTTCCCTTCCTTCCCCTTCCCCTTCATCTTTATGAACTCCTACATCCACTCCCAGTCCCAGTCCCATTCCAATTCCCATTCCAGTTCCCATCACATATCACACATATCATGATAGTCACCTTACATATACCATACTATACTCTGCATACACATATCGACTTCTTGCCTATTATACACACACACACACACACACACACACACACACACACACACACACACGAATATTCTTTTTTTCGAATGCGAACAGCATACTATTTCTAAAAATTGCCATTGATTGGTTGCATGAGCATAATAACGAATGAATAAACATAACACTTAACCTCTGATCTGGTATCATGGTAAATTTTGCAGTACGGTACACCCTCCTAATAATGACATAATCCCCCGACTTCCTCATCCAAAGTCCATGTCCCCGCCAATCCACCCAGCTCCAACCCCCCATCAATGCGTTCATCTAACTTTCCCACGAAGAAATCACCCTTTCCCTTTGTATCCAAATCTCTATTCATAAGTCTTCTTGCCCAGCTATCGATAGTCGGTTCTCCTGTCTCATCCCTCGCTTGCTTCAAGAAAGGAATAAGCGCCGTACCGCCCGTACCTTTCAATTTCTTCTTCTTCTCCTCTTCATCGCCTTTTCCGCGAGAGGCCGTCGCAATATCTACTTTTCGGCTACGATTTGCCTCGGGACTCATGGAACGAGAATGAGAGCGCGATTCGCGGGATTTGATAACAATGTAACGAGTGACAATGGCGATGTGTTTATCGCGGAAAGTGCGTAACATGGCAAGACAAGCATCGTAAGCGAGGCATAATTCATGGTTGTCGGTATGCGCTTCAACATAATCACGAATGTTGGCCACGACGGTCATGTCTTCGAGGAATCGTCGATGAGCTCCTGGCATATATTTTCGCATCTCGAGAAGAAAATTATGCTTGGTTCGTGGTGCGCCACCTTCGGCTTCGCTCTCGGATGCGGCGTCCTTCTTTTCACCAGTAGGACGATGCTCTATGCCTAGAACGATGTCGAAGAATTGAAGAATAGAGCTCTGGGCATTGCTGCCGCCGGAGAGCTGACGATATTGCCCAACCCCATTACCCTCATCGTAAAAGACCCCATTTGGTAACCCAGCTTCTTCCATGTTCTTACTACCAGCAAGGAAAGGACGAATTCGATTATAGAACACATGAGGATCGCAGCTTTCATGCATGCGTTGAAGAAGTGTTCCAAGATCATCGATCCTCTCCGCAAAAGTTCGTAGACAAGAAGTGATAGTCCTGCTATCATTCTTACGAGCCGCCTCAATCGCTGTAAGCATGAGGGGAAGAACGGGAGCAGCTCGAGCCTCAATTGCCACCGAGACCAAATAAAACCAAGACTCGTCGATAGAGCCAGTAAATGTCGTTAGGGTGGCAAGATTCTCCAAGTTGTCAACATGCTCGTCTGCGAACAACGGCTTGAAGTTCCAAAGACAGACGGCAGCATATGTGGCGACTGGTGGTACTTCCAAGTATTTCGAAATGTGTAAAAGAGGGACTGTGATGGATGGCGGCAGGTTCTGTAAATTCCAAAAGAATTAGCATGAGACTCTGATGCGCAAAAAATTGTGGAAAGAATTGTACAAACCTCTTCGGGGCTATCACCACCCCAGATATAGCTATGCGCCATGAAACATAACAACGAATATGCTCTTCGCCATTCCGAATCATGTTCCAGACCGGCAGTGGAAAGAACAGGAAGACGATCAATGACACCACGCAAGCGTTTGCTCAAGATCAAACCTTGAAGGTTTGCAATGATCGCCTCCCATTTATTGTAATATGGATCAGGAAGTCGTTCGAGAGGTAAATCAGCCGGAAGAAATCCATAATCTGGAGATATTCCGTAGTTGCTGAGGTTGGGGATTGAATGTAACATTGTTTGTTGAAAAGAGAGATAAATTAAGTATCTGTCCTGACGCAAGGAGTATAGGATCTTTTGTCCAATACTCCTCAGCCTTTTTGATAATCTTTGTAGTTGCTTTGCATATGAATAGCAAATTCGGTGTGGTGGGCAAGAAGCAGTAGAAACGAGGAAAGGATGATAAGAATGAACGTTTGAAATCTATACCAGAAATCTTAGGGGGATTGCCCCTCATATTATATATACTAGGTAGAGGGTAGAGATAAAGAGAGGGTTCCGCCTTCACGCTTAGAAAGCATTTCATTTATTCTCATTCTCATTGTCAAAGAGTTTCGATTTCTCCATTTCTCCATTTCTCCATTTTGATTTCCATACCTAGGTCCTAGGCTCTAGGTACGAGTAGTAAGTAGGGCATAGGTAGTAAGATAAGTATTTATAATCATGTCAGTTCTATTTCAGATCATTTGTTCCGATCAGATTAGTTGATACAATAACTCGAATAGTTATTATATTATCACAAGCTAGTCAAACGGCCCCTCAAGTGCCGGAAAAACAATTCGCCTTGCTGCGCTTTTCGAATCGTTTTTCTAAGACATCTCAAAGCCTATAAATTTGATAATTATAAAGATTGAATAGTATTCTTAAAATCGCCTTTTTGCATATTCTATTTAATCGATAGTTTTAAGGAGTTTACTAAATTGAAAGATTAATTATATAATTCTATATAATTTTTAGAAAAGATATTCGCTATTATATATTAACTATATACGTTTTTT